TGAAGAAAAGCCACTCTGTCTCTGCCTGGACCCACCCCCAGAGGGCGCCACAGTCCCTGGGTGCCACCCTGAACCCTGAAAATCCTGGGCTCTTGAAGGGCAGCAGAGGCCCACACTTGCTGAGTACGTGAACACCACCAGGCCCACAAGCAGCCCTGTGTTTACCCCGAATCTACCTCCCTGCACACGGTGCATGCTTAGCCGATGTTTGCTGCGTGACTAAGGGGCAGGCCCAGTTGCTGAGCACATTCCGTGCAGCCTCTCACTGCACCCTGCAACAGACCTGGGAGGGAGGCACCACCAGCCTCCACCCAACCCCCCACAAAGCTCAGAGAGGTCACACAGCTGGTAAGTGGCAAAGGCTGCATTGGAACACAGACCTGCTGACTCTTGAGCATTACTCTCTGTGGCCTCAAACCACCCTAAGTGCTGATCACAAGAGCCTGGGGCCCAGCAGCTACATACACATGCAGGTCATGCACACAAACACGGGCACAGGTCCCACAGGCGCACTGCTGGCCCACGTGGCAGTCACTTATTTACAAACATATAGCACAAACTCTGTGCCCTGCGCTATTCCAAGTGTTTTGCACTCAAACCTCACAGCAACCCTATAAGATAGGAACAATTATTCTATTCAAACCACAGATGAGGAAACCAAGGCAGAAAAAGATTTGTGACTTATCTAAGGTCACACAGCTGGTGAGTGAAAAAGACAGGATTTCAACCTGAACGGCCTGGCTCTAGAACCCTTCCTCCCTCCAGACCTCAGGACCCAGGAGCTCTGGGCGCCTCCCACCCCCAGGCCTGGGAAGAGGGCTGGACAGTACTGCTCAAAGCCCAACTCACAGAGAAGGAAACAGGCCCTGAATAAAGGCAGTATGTTTCCGGACACACAGCTGTGCGAGCACAGTCTGTCAACCCAGAGCGTCTGTGTCATACCCGAGGATCCCCTGCCCACAACCCTGCCTATCTGCCAACATCTTCCATGCAGGGGGACCTGCTCGGGGACACTGAGGAAGAGCGACTGCCTGGTGACAGTGTGGTCAGGAGGGAGCCAGATGTGAGACACAAGCATTACTTTTTTAAAAAGAAAGCCCAAGCCCTGGCCGGTTTGGCTCAGCAGTTAGAGCGTCGGCCTGCCGTCCACAGAGACCGGGGTTCGGTTCCCGCTAAGGGCACGTACCTCGGTTGCAGTTTGTCCCCGGCCCTGGTTGGTCGTGCGGGTGGCAGCCACTCGATGTGTCCCTTTCACATTGATGTTTCTCTCTCTCTCTCTTCCTCTCTCTCCCTCCCACTCTACCTGAACAAAAAATGGAAAAATGTCCTCGGGTGAGGATAAAAAAATAATAATAAAAAAATTAAAAAATAAAAAGAAAGCCCAAGACTGAGCCAAAGCCAGAGAAGGCACTTCAAAGCCACTGATGGCAGGAGGAGGTGAGGGGGGGGGGATGCACTCAGCTGCCACGCAGGGTGAGAGGCAGAGAGAAGCGGGAGGGCGCGACACACAGAGACTGAAACTCACCTGTCCGAAAAGGCAACTGGAAATCCCCATTTGGGTTTTCAATTGAAGGTGGAGAGAGGCCAGGAGTTTGGGGGGTGGGGGCGGGGATGACTGAGGAAGAGATGGAAAGAGAGAAGACTCAGACAGAGAGAGGAGAGGACAGAGACAGGAGAGACAAGAGTCAGAGATAAAGATAAGGAGATAAAGGGCACACAGAGACAGAACATGGAAAGAAAAGCAAATGCAAATTACAAGATCCCAGATGCCCCCAATACACAATTCAAAAAGGCCACACATACACACTCAAGCACGCTCATACACAGACTCATGCACACTCCTGCTCAGGACTCAGAGATCTGGGTTCTAGTGTGGACTCTGTTCTTGAAATGCTGTGACCTTGCAGAAGACCCACCTCGTTCTGAGCCTCAGGTCCCCCCTGAGCACTGGTAAGGTTAAGCTGGCTCCAGGAAAACGAGAGCATGTGGGCAACAGGGTCTGGGCAGGCAGCAACCTCACCATGATGTCCCCTCTGTGGCAGAGGGCCCTAGCTGAGCAGGCGCTGAGGGGGACCTAAGGAAGGGCCATGGGCAGGCAGGGACCCAGTGCTTCCACTACAGTTGAGGAACCAGGCTCAAAGCAGCAAAGCTGCTCCCTCAATGTACTGCCGCACCCACCTGCGAGACCTCATGATGCACCTGCTGCCAGGGAGCTGAACAGAGCAGGAGGAAGCTGCCCTTCCTGAGCCTATCCCATCAGGGGTCCAGGACAGGTCTGGCACTTCTTAGGAGCCCAAATGTGGGTGTCTTGTTCTTGTGCAGACGGGGAGTGGACATGTCTGGAATATTGGTGCAGTCTCTGGACCCTGGCATCCATTCCCTGTTCTAGGTGCTTGATGGTATTATTGTACTGGCTCCTCACACCCACCTTGTTAGGAAGTTAAGTCCCATTAAACAGAGGAGGAAACTGAGGCACTCTCTGTTAAGGGATTGCCTAGGGTCACACAGCCCCCTGCAGCCTCCCCCACAGTGTGTAACCCCTGCTGCCATTGGCACACCTTTCCAGAGGAGTCTCCCTCTGGGCAGCCCAGCCTGACGCTCTGCCTCAGCTTCCCACCCACTCCTCCAAGTCAGGCCCAGCAAGGGTGTGCAGCCCGGTCCTGAAGGGCCGCGGGGCAAGGACAGCAGGAAGCCGGAGCCACGAGGGCTGGCTGCAAAGAGCTAGCTGAGACCCAGCGTGTCCCGACCCCACACTCCTACCTGGACACCCGAACCGGGACGGCGGCACACTGCTTCTGACTCGCGCGGCGCGAGAAAGCTGTCCTGCGGCGCCACCTAGTGGCCGAAGAGGCCTCCTGGCCCCGCGAGTCCTGCTGAGTGCCAGGCTGAGCTGGGGACCCCAGTCGCCCCAGTTCACTGGGACAATAGAGTGCAAAGAATTCGTCTATCCTAGGGACCGTGTGTTGACCATCCCAGGTCGGGAGGAGGAAGCGGTACAGTAGAGCTTGGTCCTTTGTCCTCCAGAGAGGCACTCACACATCCCACCACCATCTGGACATCTCTACCCTCCGCCCACAGATGTCCCAAACTCAACCGTCATCTCTCTAATGCATGCATTTATAAAGCATTTGTAGCCCAGCGGGTGTGGCTCAGTGGATTGAGTGACATCCCATGGACTGAGAGGTCCTGGTCAGGGCACATACCGGGGTTGGGGGCTTGATCCCCAGTGGGGGACGTGCAGGAGGCAGCCAATCTGTTTTTCTCTCACATTGATCTCTCTCTCTCTCTCTCTCTCTCCCTGCTTCTCTAAAAAAATTCAATAGAAACATATTCAAAAAATAAAAAGAGAGGCTTGCTGGGCCTCCCCCAGTGCACAAATGCTCAGTCCAGGCTGTCTTGATTCCCATCTCCAATACCACCTGTGACCTGGACAGATTCCTTGGCCTCTCTGTTTCCTCATCTGTAAAATGGGAAAAACAATTGCTTCTACTTCAGAATTGGGGGTGGGGGGAGGGGAATAACAAGTGTTAAACACTTAAAACAGCATTTTGACAGAGTTTTGTTATATTAATGTCTATTTAGGTGTTTCTCTCCTTCCTGGCCTAGCTGATGGAGGTTAGACAGTGACAGTTATGCAGGAAGGATCAGCTGAGTCATTTCCATGCCCCACACTCTACAGTGTCAGGTATACAAAAGGCCCTCAGAAGGCATTTGCTCAGTGAATTCAGTGCTTCCTCTTCTCACCATTCATTTATTGAGTGCCTTCTGCATGCCAAGTAGAACTAGACTAGGAGCTACAGATGAAGCACTGAAGACAGGGTTCCTTTCCATTGCAACAAGAGTAATTTCTAGGCAAGAAGTTCTCAAATTTTTGGTCTAAGAATGTCTTTACACTCGTTTTTTTTTTTTAAATAAGTTTTCTTCATTGATTTTAGAGAGAGAGGAAGGCAGATAGAGACATCGATGAGAGAGAACACTGGTTGGCTACCTCCTGCACGCCCCACACCGGGGATCGGACCCACAACCTGGGCACGTGCCCTGACTGGGAATCAAACTGGCGACCCCTTGGTGCATGCACACTCAACCACTGAGCCACACCAGCCCGGCCATCTTTACACTCTTAAAAAAGTCAGAATCCCAAAAAGCTTTTGTATATGTAAATATCTATTGCTATTTGCCATACTAGAAACTAAAACTCCAGAAACTTTTAAATATTTATCAATTCATTTAAAATAACAGCAAACTTGTCCTGCCTGTGTGGCTCAGTGGTTGAACGTCGACCCTGCACCAAGAGGTCGCCAGTTCCATTCCCAGTCAGGACACATGCCCAGGTTGTGGGCCGGATCCCCAGTGGGGGCGTGCGGGAGGCTACTAATCCATGTTCTCTCTCATGGATATGTCTATAGCTCTTGCTCCCTCTTACTTCCTCTCTCTTTAAAATCAATAAAGGAAAAAAAGTTTTTAAATAAAATAACAACAAACTCATTGCATGTTAACTAAATAACGTATTTTTATGAAAATCGTTTTTTCCAAAACCATGTGAAAACACTGATTGTTGTTCATGTCTTGAATGTCTGGCTTAATGGAAGACAGAAGAACTCTCATGCCGCACTCAATCTGTGCGATATGTGGCTTTGGTTGAAGTACATGAAAAAATATCCAGCTCAACAGTCTCCTTTTTAGCAAAAACTAAGAATACTAATATTGCGCCCCCCGGCCTCGACCACTACGAAGCTGCGAGACGCGAGAGGTTTGACCAACCTGGTCAATTAGGTTAGTTGTGAACGGTTTCCGGGAGGCGTGGCCTGGGGCCCAAAGGGAAAGTTGGGCTGGGATTGGACAATAAATGCGTCTTTCTGCGCGTCGCCCCGCCCCCGATTCGCTCCCCTCTTCCTTACGCATGCGTCCTAAGGAAGGAGGGCACTTTCCTCCGCTCACCCCGGAACTTTCTGTTCCCGCTCGGGTTTCCGCCGAGACAACAAGGGCGGCCAGGGCGGAAGTGGTGTTAGGTGTGTGGGCGGGGCTGAGAACAATATGTCAGCGGCCTTGCTGCGGCGGGGCCTGGAGCTGCTGGGGGCGCCCGAGGGTGAGAAGAGCCTGACCCAAGACTTCGAGCGCGTGCGGGGGGCGGCTGGGGCTGAGGGCAGGAGCCCGGGGGGTACGGAACGATCCAGGCCGGCCTTATCCGCGTCCTCCGACCTGGGTCCGTGCCTCTCTCTGTTCCCCTACAGCCCCCCAGGCCGCGCCAGGCCAGGCCAAGCAGAGCGGGGCTCCAGGAAAGCGGGCCCGGAAGGCGAAGGCGACCCAGACCGGGAAACTGCGGAACTCGGCGAAGGGAAAAGTGCCCAAGTCGGCGCTCGGTAAGCTCCGGAAGGGGCTGGACGTGCTGCCTCTGTGCCTTGGAGGAAGGGCTTGAGGCCGGGCTTGAAACGTTTGTCCGGCATTTCTGTGATGCCTGCTGTGAGCCGTGCGCAGAGCGGAGTCCTGGGAATATGAATGATCGAACCACATTGTCCCAGTTCTCATGATCCACAGCCCCGGTGGGGAGAGAGGCATTAAAGAGTTTCAAAATCAGCAAAGTATGATGAGGGCTTTGAAGATTTGTGCTCTGAGAGGGACTTCGAATAAAAGACTCAGACTTCTCGAGGAAGCGACACTTAAGTCCAGATCTGAAGGAAGTATAGAGTGAACCAAGGGGAAGAGTATTCTAGAGAGAATGGCATATGCAGGGTCAGAAAGAAATGTGTTGGTTTTGAAAGTTTGAATGAAAGAAGCCTAGTAAAGGCAACAGAGTGAACAAGGGTCAGAGATGGAGCATTTAACAGTTCATAATCCGTGTGCCAGGTGCTGTTCTAAACCCTGTACAAATGTTCACTCATTTAATTCCTCACAACTGCCCTGTGAGGTTGGTACAGATGGTGCAGGTGGCAGCCAGGCAGTGTGTCTCCAGTGCCCTGCTCTTACCTACTCTGTTCAAGTGGGAGGCACTGTGACCTGGGCAGTGGCGAGGGTGCAGAGATAAGAGAACTGCGCAGGTGGAAGGTGGGAGGAGGGAGCGTTGATGGGTGTCAGTGGTGAACCGGCTTTGAGGAAGGAGGAAGAGGGAGACAGCCAGAACCGAGCCCAGTTTCTAAAGAGTATCTTGAGGGATGTGGTGCCACTTAAGGCATGGAGACGTGGGGAGGGGCAGATGTGAGCAGGGTGGTGGGAGGATTTGTGGCAGGACTTGATTAGCTTCTATGGTGTCTTTGAATCTGGGCCTGGTGCATAAAATATGTTCAGGTGCTTGTTAAAGGAACTATGAATTCCAGGGAGGAAACAGCCTGAACTAAAGTGTGGAGGCAGAAAAGTGAGACCCTTTTGAGCAACAGTGATGTTGGTGTAAAGAGTATAGGACACCAGAGGTACCCCCATCCAACCCACACCTTGTCCCATAATTGGTACGTAATTGACAAGTGAGGGGACTTTCAAGCCTCAGTGGCCAATCTAAAGAACACTTCTGTGACTGCCGCCTATGTGAACTACATCATCTCTTGCCTGGATTATGGTGAAAGCCTCCTAACTGGTGTCTCACCTTCCACTCCCTCCTCCCCCCTAATCTTGTTCTCAGCACAACAGCCAAAGTGATCCTATAAAATCATGTCGGACCTTTCTCTTCTCTGCCCCACACCCTCTTATGAGAGCCCAAGTTCTTAGGGTGCTTAATGTGGCCCCACATGGTCTACCCCTTCTACTGTTCTCCCCTCCCCTCCCCTCCCCTCCCAGCTATTTCTCACAGCTCTGCTTGAGTCTTTGCAATGGCTGTTGCCTCTGTCTAGAATACTCTTCCCCCAGATACTACACTCTCCCTTGAGTCTTTGCTCAAACATCATTTCACTGAGGTTTTCTCAGACCCTCAGGTTTAGAATTGCAACCCTTTCCTGGCGGAGCAGCTCAGCTGGTTAGAGCATCGTCCCAATATACCAAGGTTGTGGGATTCGATCCCCGGTCAGGGCACATACAAGAATCAACTAATGAATGAATAAATAAGTGGAACAGCTGCCCTGGCCGGTGTGGCTCAGGTGATTGGAGTGTCGTCCAGTGCACTGAAAGGTCACAGGTTTGATTCCTGGTCAGGGCACATGCCCAGGTTGTGGGTTCGATGCCCAGTTGTGGTATATGCACCAAGCAGCCAACTGATGTTTCTTTCTTTCTCTCTCTCTCCCTCCTCTCTCCCTCCCTTCCTGCTAAAATGAATCAATAAATACAAAAGAATTGCAACCCTCCACCTCTGGCATTCCTCATTCCTGTTTACTATTCTGATTTTCTCCATAAAATATATCATCTAAAATACTATTTACCACCTCTCTTCTCATTGGCATGTAAGCTCAGCTCCGTGAGGGCAGGAGGTTTTGCTTGCCATGTCCTGCTGTATGCTTACACCCAGAACAGTGCCTGACACACAGTAAGCACTTAGGACATTTGTTGAATAAGTAACTTGAGCAACTGGGAACCAAGGGGGACTTTCAGCGGGATCTGTGTGGAGAGTGACAGGAAAGAGCGCAGGCTACTGCAGAAATCGAGGGAAGGGACCACTAGACCTTTGGCAGGGCCTTGGGGGTTAGGGGGTAATGGGAAGATGTGAAGAGGGGACCCAGAAGGCTTCCAGGGAGTGAATCTGAAATGATGCCGCCCTGCTTGCCATCCACAGCTGAGTTCCAGAAGCGAGAGAGCCGGGGCTACCTTGGAGTGAACCTAAAGTTTATGACCAGTGCAAGAAACGCCGTACCCGAGTCCATCACCCAGCAGGTTTGTCAGGGATGGCTATGAGAAGGAACCTGTGGGGGAGAGAGCTGAAGACGTTCCTGGGAATCCCTGAGGGTCTCAGCCCTGAGCATAGGGTAAAGGTTGGGCCACCCACCCTCCCCCCATGTTCCTATATTGCTGTGCTGTGGGGGGCGTCTCCCCCTGAAGGGCTGAGCGCAGAGCAGGGGAGGTGGCAGGCCAGGCCAGGCCCTGCCCCTGGGAGGCAGGTGTGTGGACCAGGTGAAGGGGCAGCACTTGGCCAGATTGTGCACTGCCCTCATGTCCTGACACTCACACGTCCCCAGATTGTGCGCCAGAACCGGGGCCGCAAGGCCTGTGATCGGCCTCTGACCAAGAAGAAGAAGAAGAAGAAGGCCGAGGGCACCGTGTTCACTGAGGAAGACTTCCAGAAGTTCCAGCAGGAATACTTCGGCAGCTAGGCTCCCGAAGAGCAGAGTGGGAAAGCACTCAGGACCAGCTTCCTCCTCTGACCTCACGGCCACTGGTGGCCCCAGGACCCTGCCATGCACAGCGGGGCCTTGGAACTGAAGCTAGGGGCAGGCTGGAGTGGAGCTGGTGAGATGGAAGCCTGAGGGAGGATTTAAACTCAGGGGGAAGCTGAAACCCGCAAGCTTGGGAGGACCTGTTCACCTGCCAAAAGGGAACATTTCTGACTGTTTTGTTTGCTTTGGCCCAAGTAGGCCCTCTTGGCTGTTTGCCATGGAGAGGCCAGTTACTAGGCCCTCGGGGGCCACATCTCTACGAGGAGGAGGAGGGCTGCTGGGTATACTTCCTGGTTTTAATAAATGTGGGCTCAAGAGCTGTGTGTGTGCTGCTGATCAGATTCATGGGGTGTCTCATCTCCTGTGGCACGAAGGGGCCTTCCCTTCCCTCCCCTCCCAGTCTTCCAGTGTGGTTCTTGGAGCTCCAGATCAGAAGTCCTCCAGTCAACCCCAGTACAGGTGGCCACCCAGAGAGTTCACCCAGTATCCACTAACAGCCCAGAGGGGCCCTCCTCCCCTGGGGGTGGCAGCCAGCAGCCATGGCGTAGTCCTTGAGGCAAAAATGGCACCCACAGCTGCCAGAAGCTTTGTTCCAGGGACTCCATCCAATCCAGGGTCTGGGGAGAGGGATTGCTGCAGCCCAGGTCCTGTGCTCTTGTGAGCAGAGCGGGGTTTATGTGTCAAGGGCCACATTTTTGTTTTACTCTGAACTGTCACATGAGTTGGACTAGTGGGGTGACTTCAAGAAACTCAGGTCTATGCCCAAGCAGAAAAGGCAGTGAGTGCTTAGGGGGAGGGGGAGCTGGACCTCTTCCAGCCAGCCCAGTGCCAAGCACAGGTGCTCACCAAACGCATGACTGAGTGGATGGTGCCAACCAGCATTGTCTTCAGTGTCAGGATGCCAAGTCCTAGAGCAGGGGTCGTGGGCCTCCTGGAGAGGAGGGCCCTGGACACCTTCAGGCAGCTCTTCTACCTTTCCCCCACCCCAAAGGGCTCCAAAGGTCATGGAATTGTCTGATAGAGGACTTCAGAAGGGTCCCCTGTGGCTGGAGTGACAGTCTGCCTCCCCACGATGGGTTCTAGTGTGCCAGAGGAGAGGGTTCCTCGCCCTACCCACTTCCCTGGAGGCTGATTCTGGTCATTATCCAGCTTTCAGTGCTGAGGACCGGCTGGGCTACAGAACTGCCCGAGGCAGAGGTGGACCTGGTCTGAGCTGTAGGAAGCAGACCCTCCAGGTCAAGGCTGCAGGAGAGGAGGGCACTGTACTCCAAGCTCGCATTGACCCACCTGCCTCAGATGTGCTTGTTCCAAAGAAGGGGGCAACAGGTCTCCAGCCTCAAATTCTCCACGCCCTCCTCCCTCCAGCTGAGCCTGAATAACCCTGACGGGAGAGAGAGCTACACACCTGGATATCCTTAGATCCCTTCATCTAAGCACCTTAAGAAGCTGACTCAGCAGCTGGCAAGTTGCTTCTCAGAACAGGCTGACCAGACACTGAGCTCCAGGGTCCCTAACAAGGACACCTGCTGTTACGTAATCACCACAGGTTCCTGACCCCTCCCAGCTGTAGAGTGACAGCTGCCTCCTGAGTGACGATGGGAACAGGGCTTCTGCCACTTCTCTGCTTGGGGGTTTTCCAGTCTCTCATTACACTTATGCCAAACAGTGGGGTGTGTCCATGACTAACAGAGTGTTCACCCCTGAGATTCTGGTCTAATAGAGTAGGACTCAGGGTCTGTATTTTAACAGTAACCTGAACAAGTGTGGGGCAGGGGATTAGGTGGTGGGATCCAGGCGGAGGCTGGTGCAGGTTCTGAAGGAGGATGTGAAGGTCACCGTGAGGTAGGCAGGGAGGGGCATTGCGGCTGGCCGTGAGTCTCAGGACCTGGTGACTGATCTGGGAAAGGGAGGGACAGGGTCCAAGTGAGAAGACACTGAGTTTACAGAGTCACTGCAGGACTATAAAGACCTTGGAGGTGGTTTGCCCCAGTTGAGACACTGTGGTGACTCTAAAGCACCTGGAAGCATGTGTCTCAGGTTTAGTACAGCTGACAGATTTGGGGTGGGCTCCTTAAGCCACCCACACTCCCTGGTCCTCTGACTGGGTTGCCAAGGGACCAGGCAGAAGTGGAGCAGGACTGTTATGTGGAACCTCGCTGGGGCCCAGCTACAGGACAGCCCAGAGCTGGTTTAAGGAAAGGCTTAGCTCAAGTTCCCACAGGGCGGGTCCCCATCAGGTGACTTCCTCCAGCAGGGCTGGGGGTGGGGAGCCAACTTGGAAAGGTGGGTGGGACTATGGCCTTCAGTGTGTACCCATTTTGTTCCCACCTGTCTTTGCCTGGACTGGCTTTCTTAGGGTAGTCTCCTCCCTGCATCCACAACTTTCCCCATCTTTCAAAGCCCAGCTCAGGCACCCTGCCACCCAGGAGTCACTGCTCCTTCGAGGTTGCCCAGCCTGACAGCCCTAACTTGTGGGGATATCACTTTCCACACGCTGAACGCATTCTACCCTCCTGCCCCTGCCACGTGGTGCCTGGCAGAGGTGCTGGCACTAGAAAGCCACTGCAGGGACTTGTCTACAGCTGGACCTCCTCCTGGTCTCTGGACTTTACATCCTCTACCTCCTTGCCATCCCTACCTGTAATTCTAATTACTCTGCCAACATCAAGTTCAAACAAATCCCCTTCCCTGGTTTTCCCACCTCAGTAAATGGAAATCACGCTTCCACTTAAGTCATCACTTTGGTCTCCACTCACAATCTCCCATCCTAGCCCAGCTAGCTTGAGCACAATATATCCAGGCCCCCTCACCAGCATCCCCACCCACCCCAAGCCTCCAGCACCTGAGCTGACCCCAGCCCAATCCTCTCCTGGCGGAGGCCCATGCCCACCTACCACAGGATCCTGGAGGGAACCCTCTTCATATAGAAACCCTGTTCTGGAAGATCCCTAAGTCAAGCAGAGGACTCTCAAGTCCTATCAGGGTTTTAAGGCCCATGCCCCACGCCAGGCTCAATCCTGTCTCGGTTTCCAAGTTTGCCTCCCAGAAGGGACTTCAATTCCCACCTCAAGAAGCAAATCCTCACACCCCAGCACCCAACATCTATTCTCACATCACATCAGGTGTCTTTTTTTACTGGACACCCCTACCAGTGGGCAGGCAAACTTTTTATATATATACCTCACTACTGAATCCCCAGCACCCAGAAGTGTCCAGCGTAGCGTGAGCGCTCAATTTTAAGTATGGCAACCCCCCCTCCGCCCCCATTTAAGAATCTAGTTCCAGAAAAGTTGGCTGGGTTGAGACAAGAAACCAGACACAGCAGATGGCACAGTACTTTCACTACAAAATAATTTATTACAACACACAGCTCCAGCACAAGCCTCCTATGTACAAGCACACACTGACTACCCTAACTAGGGGGCCCTTTTCTTTCCCCTGGCCTTGCGGACCTCTTCTATTAGATCTTTCAAATACTGGATCTCCTTGGCCAAGGAATCTGCCTTCTCTTTCAGAGCCTCGTTTTTCTTTTCTAGCTCTTTACACTCGCCAGTGAGGGCCTCCTGCTCTGCCCTCTTCTTCTGGCGGTACCTAGTGGCTGCTGTCTTGTTTTGCTCCATTTTTTTCAGCCTTTTATCTACTTTCTCACCCTTTACTTTTGCTGCTACCACCTTCTCTACAGGAGGGTCGTAGGGTTTGGGGCCAGCAGAGCCACAGAGGGCACTTGGAGATAGCCGGTTCCCGTTTGGAGAGGCCCCAGAGTTAGAGGGACTATGCTGGGGAGAACCCGGATAGGACTCAGGGCTCATACAGACACCGCTATCATTGTCTGAGATGGCATCCTCCTCCTTTATGCACTGAGGGATTAGGGTAATATAAGCAGTGGAGTCTGATTTCCTATCTCCTTCAGAGATATCAACTTCACTGCCTAGCTCTAAACTGAAGGAATGATCTGGAGTAGAGGACGGGGCCCCTGGGGAAAGGGGAAGAGGTTGCAGGAAGGTGAAGGGGGCAACCTGGTCAGTTTTTGGTAAATTTTCTGGAAGATGGCCAATTGGGTTCACTGTCTGGGGGGGCTCCTTATTAATCTCCTGGTCTAAGGGGTCAAAGAGATCACACGTGTCATCCAACGTGGCCAAAAGCTCATCAGGCAAGGTTTCCAGGTCACCTAAACTTAACAGGGCATCAAAGTCAAACTCCTTGAGATCCATTTTCTCCACCATCCAATCTGTCCCGGAGAAGGCGTCCTCTGCAAAACATTTAAAAGAAATGAAGTAAATCCAGCCAGATGCACAAGTTGACAAAACTCTTATGACCAGACCTCACTGGCAAGTCGAGTATGGACACTCACCCTTGCCGTTGTCTGAGGCACTGACCAACCCATCCACAGCCAGCCATTCGGAGGAGCCCGCCTTAGCCTTGTCGCTGGAGAACCCATGAGGTTTGAAGTGCTTGGCCACCTCCAGATAGTCGTCTAAGAGACCTAGGCTTTCTTCAGCCCCCAAACCCGACTGGTCGAAGGGGGACACGAAGCCCCCCACCAACACCTCGCTGCTCAGGAAGCTCATCTCGGTCATGTTGTAGGGGTTTGCTGGAATCGAGGAAGGTGGGTACTTCGAGGGTGTCTTTGTCGGTTACAGCAATGCTGCTGCTGAATGCCGTGAAAAGCCTGAATGGGAATCAGAAACCAAGTCGCATTTACGATCAGCTGGCCTGAGAATTTCATCTTTTTGCTCCTGAGGCAGGACGGCCAAACTCTACTTGGCTGTAAAAAATTGGGGACACGTGGCCCCAGGGCCATTGTGCGGAATTCCCTGCTCCGGCGACACAAGATGGACGCCCTCGGAGCGCGGCCGTCCCCCAACCGGCCACAAGAGGAAGGCGCGCCACCCTCACGTCCATATACGGCCGCGCCGCCTGTGCCTCGCCCCCGCCCCGTGACTCACGCCGCGTCGGCCGCCGCCCTGCCCAGCGCCATCTTTGCTCCTGCCACGTTTCGCCGGGAGCCAGGCGGGACTCGGGCGGTCGGGGGGGGGCGGGGGCGCCACCGAGGGCTTCTCCCCCCGGGCCAGACCGCGCTCCTTCGACTCAGGAGCGCCGGCGTCTCAGGGTCACCCAAACAAGAGCCACGCGTCCCCAGCGCTCGTAAACCCGCTTCCCACTCCGCGCCGCCGCCCGTCCGCAGGCCGCGCCCAGACAGGTCGAAGCCCTCGCAGACCCGGGGGCGCTCGGCCCGAGCGGCCCGACCCCATACTTACGCCATGGCTTAAGCCGCTGGGGGTGCCGCTGCAGAGCCTGGTGCTGCTGCTGCCGCTGCAAAGGCCAACGCTGCCGCAGGCACTGCTGCCTCTAATGCGCCATGGCGGCCGGGGACCTGCGGGAGCGGAGGGAGGGCGGGCCACACTCGCGGAACTACATCGGCAGGCTGAAGGAGAAATGGCTGCGGCGGGCTCACCGCGGCTCCTTTATAAAATTCTGCCTCTACGATGACGCATCACGGGGGAAATCCTTCCGCTGCGGCCACGTGACCTTCGCCTCCCACCCATTTGTTTTCATCTGTTGACGCCCTACCATTTCCAACCAACGACTTTTTTTGTCCAGGGCGTAGGTCTGACGAGAAAATGAGTTACTTGAAAGACCTCGAGAAAGGAAAGACGCACTACTTTACAAGGCCGCTAAGATCAAAGGCTCACTGGCCGCCGCCGCTGGGGAGCGCGGAGGGATCCACCAGGCACAGCCCGCTTCCGGTGTTAGCTGGAGGGCGGGGAGCGAGAAGCGTTCCATCCCCAGAAAGGTTTTTATTGCGAAGTCCGAGGCCCTCTCATTATCGCGCGAGATGCCGGCGGAGAGCGCGCGTCTAGCTGATTGGCCAGACGTGGTGAGTCATATATATCTCGAGTTTTTATTGGCTCAGGATCCGAGGTGGGTGGGCTGTTCGATGAGATGGCCTAGGGTCCGCGAGGGGTGGGGAGGAGCAGCAGCTGCGCTGACCGCGTTCGCGCGTGCTCTGTCGTCTGCCCCCCCCTGGTGGCACCCCACTGCAATGGCTTCTGCACTCCGGCTTGTACCTGGCCGTGACCACTTCTAATCCAGAGTCCCAAATAGTGGCGTCAGGCGCTAGCCCCCGTGGTCACTAGTTGCTTGCTGTTAGTGTAACTCCAGCTAAGGACCACCAGATTGCGGCTGGACGATGAAACTAGGCAAAAGGAAATGTCATTTCATCACATGTAAGCCCTTAAACAGCCGAAAGGGAGACTGAGGACCTCAGGTGGACGATCACCTGATCCATGCCCACCTTCCATAAAAGGCCGGCTCTGTGTCCTTACGCTGAACTGGGTAAAGTTGAGCCGGGAAGATGCAGCATCTTACAGTCTAACCTATCATAGTTTACATATACATTCTGCTAAAATAAGTTTGCTAGTCTATTAAAATATGCAGCCTATCACAGGGGAACTTCTTTGGTTATACAGCTTCCATTTCTCTAAGAACAAGGAGAGAATTTATTCAACTGGGATCTCTCACTCTAGGGTCGTTTCAACTACCTACCAATTCTGTAACACCCAGACTTCCACTCCCTAGCGAGTCCTCCAAATGGCCCTGTGAAGAAAGGAACCCAGGCCCACACGCGGGGGCAGCGCCAGCAACTTGCTCTCTACTGGGGAACTGTTAAGAGTGCTGAGAAAGCTCTACACCATCCCTCAGCCTCAGTCAGGCCCTGTAGGGACAGAAACCTTGCGTTTTCTGCCTCCGTTCATTTCAGTGGGCCATACAAATATTGCCATCAGGGCTATACTGTAAAAACATTTGGGAAGCACCATCCTAGATACTACAGACCATTCATTGACTTCATTCATCTAGCTCAGTTTCTTATCTGAGGACTAATGGCTCAGATAAGGTGTCTTGCCCAAAGTCACATAGCTCCCAGTATAGGGGTTAGAGGCAGATTTTAGGGGCAAACCCAAAAGAATTCTGGCTCTTCCATTTATTAGCCAAGACGTTTTGGTTAAGTGACTTATTCTTGCTGAGCCTCAGTTTCCTCATCTGTAAAATGAGGCTAATGAGTAGTGTCCTTATCCTTAGAATAAAATACAGTCATATATGTAAAAAACCAAGTGCCTGGTACCTGATCCATGCTCAATTACTAATTACTATTAGAACTCAGGTCTCCTGACCCTGACCTCCCAGTACCCACCTCCCCAACTCCATTACATCATCCTGCTTCCTCAGAGTACTCCCTTATTTACTGAGATGAAACCAACAACTATAAAACTGGGATACGCAAAGCATACCAGATGCTGGGGTAAGTGTGGTTTTTCTTTCCCCTTGGGGAATCCCATGTATTGAGATACACAGAAGTTGTCTAGTCTTCGGTGCAAAAGTGGTAAGAATGCAAGCCACTACAGAAGTCTTTCAAAGGCATATCTAAGGACCCACAGGGCATGTCCTCCTTTTGCTGTATCGAGACACTTATCAGTGCCTCCTGAGGGATGACCATGCAGATGGTTGAGAATTAAAGTAACACTACCCCAGTTTTGACACTGCAGAGGTCATGGAAGAATGACTTCAGTAGCAGCTTGTCCCATCTATTCTATTATGGAGACAAAAATCAAGCACCTCAACATTCTAGCTGAAATGAACCAGAATCACTCCTGAGGGAAAATGTTTCATATCACACACAAAAGTCAGAGCTGTTGGAAAAGAGACTTTTATTTCTTCCCATGCTGTGGAAGGACATCACGTTCCCCAGCTTTATTTCCTCCTTTAAGGAGAAAAAGGACAGCAGTTTTCTGGGTCTCCGGGTTAAGCTGCTTCTATATGAAGCTAACCAAGACAGGACAGAAAGATTGGTGACTGATTCCAAATCTACCAGCCAAACATCAACTGCTACTGAAGGTCAGGCAAGTGATTGGAAGGCAAGTTGTGGACTTGACATGAGATCAAGAATTTAGACTACAGGGTGATCAAAATGAAAAGGTAAACAACACTGAATACATTTAACCCAAGAACCCACATCCCTGGTACTTTGGCCACTTAGAATCAGCAGTGTCTAAAAGGGCTACAGCCTCACAGGTCTAGTCCTAGGTGTCTCTTTGGCCTGGAACTTCAGCAGCACGGGCAGAGTTCTAACAAATCCTGTAACAACAGACATTCTCAGCCAGGGTCATAGTCTCAAGGAAGATGTACAACTGCAGAGGACTCTGGACACATGCAGGGATCCCTACTTACACAAACCCCTTGGGGCCTCTCTTGGGCCTTTTGATCCTGAGGCTGATTCCTCATCAAAACCATTTGTGCTCTCAACTTTAGTGGAGTGCAAGGGAGCAAGCTAAGCTAATCTGGAGTGTCAACCAGTGGACCACCAGGGGCTGAGACCCAGGAAGAAAGACTGTAGGCCTCAACACAGCTTTTCCAAACATGAGCTTTGATTATTTATTTGAAAAAAAGTCATAACCAAGTGTATAAAAAATACTGTTGTCCTGAACTCATTTTTAAAAAGGGGCAACAGGGAAAACCAAAATACATTTTGGAATTGATTAGCATTTCAAGATGATGAGTATATTTTTCAAGCATTAGGCTAACTGTGTAGTTTGCTAACCTAGATGGTGTAAAAAAAATTTCCAGATGGAGAACTAGGACCAGATGCTATTACTTCAGAAAGGTGGGAGTTATGAGTAGAAAGGCAGAATGGTGGGAAGGGCACCACATCTTTTCCCCAAAGATTAAAGGGGGTGGGGGGCAGAATGTTGCTTTATTCCACCCAAGAATCTCAAAGTACTTGACTGTCTTCTATGTTTTATGATGGTTTGCCAAGTCAGTCAACAAAACCACCAGGACCAGAGCTGGGAATTCCCACTGCTTCTAGTTCTGAAGATTTCTAAGAGATTCTTGCTTATGAAATGGCAAAGTTATGGTTTTCGGTTTTGTGAAGTATAGTTAAGAGGCAGAGGTGCCCTTAGAAAGATGCTCTTTAAAGGAGGAGATAAAATCAAATCACAATTACACTTGGCCTTGATAATTTGGGACTTGATCTTTAAAATCTTTTCTTTTTTGAGCTCTCCTTCCAAAGTTTTATATGGAATTTGGTTGGAGACACCAGCTTGGGAAAACTGTTTTAGAATACATTGGGGAAACCAAATCCTTTATCTCAATGAATAATAACCGATGCTGTGGCAACACTTTCTCAGCCCACCCCTATCCTGGATGCCATGCCAGGCTCTACCCATTACCCTCTACGCCACTCACCCAGAGCAGCACTCGGGCATGTAGATTTTTAACCTCCAATTTGATTCTGATGAACAGCCAGGCTGGAGAATCCCTCTCAGGGTTCTGGGGTTTATATTTTTCATTCTCTCCCAATACCTTCATACAAATGAAACAACTGAACCATATATATATATATATATATATGGCAGGAAGATTCTCCAAATATAGCAAAAGTTAACCCTAGTTCTCAACCTCTTAATCTATAACAGAAAGGGAACAGGAATCTCTAGCCTAAATTCAGAGGTTAGCTGAGGTTTCAATGCTATTTATAGAGCCAATTCATGTTGCTGTCATTGGGAAGGAATGAGACAGCTGCAGAGCTTCACCAGAATCTCACTGATTGGAGAGGTAGTATGAATGGAAAAAATAGCAACACTTGATGGGAGAACAAAATACTGGATGGGCAGATCAGAAACAGAATTATCAGGTTCTTGTCACAAACAGGAAAAAAGAAACAAAAAACAAGATGCACTGACACTGTGTATTAAACATTCCTCCCCACCCTTAGGAAACTTTTTAAATTGCAATAAATAGTGCAATTTTAGCAGCGGGAAACAAGGAGCATAGGAAGCCCCCACCTTCGTCTCATGTTTTATTGATGTGCACTCTTCCTAGGTAGCACCGATCTCCCCAGGTGCTGGGTGAGAGACAGGACTGGGGTGGGGGAGAGGGGGGAAGAGGTCTGAGCACGTTTGCTTGCCCTTTGGCCTCTGGAGGTGCCTGGAGAGTTCAGCAAACAGCCCTCTCACATTCCTACAGCAGACTGTTGGATCTGTTCTTGCTCTAAGACAATATCCTAGAAAGGCAGGGCCTGGTGGGGGAGAAGCATTGTCACTGAGCCCCAACTGGTGACTGCATCTTCCAGCTGACGTCCTGCCACCTGTCAGCCTCTCTACAGCCAAGGCTGTGTTCTTGAAGGCCTCATCCTAACTGGCAATGAGGCAGGAAGGGGGTGAACAAGAGCACTCACGCCAAGGCGCTGCCCTTGCAGCCCCTTCCCGCCTTTGTCTTGTCTGACCCCTGCACAGTGCCACTGGTCTGGACCAGCCACATGAGGCATAGACACTGGGCACACAGAACCTCTCCCAGGCCCCTTTACCACCTCTGGCTCCCCCACTCTGCACTGTCACTGATGGCCACTAAGAAACACAATCTCCAAATAACTTTGCATCCAGTGTATCTTGAACCCTCAGGACTCCTGTGTGGGTCAATAACAGTGTTCCCATAAGAGACTGTCTCAGCACTATGGATATGAGTTAGTCAGGAGGTCGGAGGAGTGGGCTTCTCTTCCAGGAGCCTGGGTCAAAGGCCAGTTCTTCCACTTTACCCCCAGAAACCCTAAATACAGTCTGAGCACTCTCTGCAGCGTTCCGCTTGGAAATATGCAATCATAACCTCAGTGACTTTCAACTAAAGGCAACATCTTGATTAGGCAAGTACACTCCAGGGAAAGGAGCAAAACAGAAGGCGCAAACAAGAGGAAAAACTAGAGAAAACACTGAAGAGAAACAGGCCAAAGGGCAAGGCAGGGCAGACAGGAGCAGAATACTGGGCCACATGCAGAACACCAAGTGTTTCAACAGCTCAGGCCAGTGCTCCACCTTCTCAATTCATTCCAGAAAAATTTGCCTGGAGAAGGGTGAGAGGAGGAGGGAGCACAGTGTTTGGTAACAAAAATAGAAAGGGTTGGGTTTGAGAAAATAGGAGATTAAGAGATGTCATTCTAATCAGCATGAAGTGACCAGGGCGATGAATAGCAAGACAGGAGGCACCTAGGGACCCTGTGAGGCACCAACTATACAGCCAAGTGTTTCTAACGGAGAATCCACGGCCTGAATGCCCAACGCCCATTTTGGCCTTCACCTTCCCTACGTCTGCAGCAGCACCTCTGGCTCAGACAATGAGCAATAGAGAGTGTATCCCAATTCGTCTATTTCTTCAGCGGTGAGCTCAGCAAATAAGTTCACCTTGGGGTTTAGGGCACTGGGCAGGACTCCGGCCTCTAGGTACCTGATGAGTCCCCTCAAGGCCTGCAGAAATCGATCGGCCAGCATATCTGGAGACCAGTCAGCCTCCTCCTGGGCCAAGTGGAGGATAACATTCGTGAGCTGGCTGGCAGTGAGGTGGCCCAGAGCTGGAGTGGACTTGCATATGGCCTTGAGGATCTTGAGGCAAAGAGATCGGCAGCCCGAGTCGGCCTGGTCCAAAGCCCGTAGGCGTGCTGTCTCAGCAGGACGCAGGCTCAGCCGCCAAAGGTTGTCATACTGGGCTAGTCGGTGTGGTCTGGCCACCAAGACAGTGTCACCAAGGGTCACTGATGGCAAGAAGTCAATGACAAGATGTTTGTCACGCTCATACTGAACTTCCAGAGTTAGGGCCTCTGGGGGTGGTGCTGGTCGGATCACATAGTCCAAGAGGGACCCTATGGCCGGCCAATTGATGGAGCCAGCCACTACCTTCTCAAATGTGTCTGCCACTGTCTTTGGGGAGAGGTAGCCCCCTACTACACAGCGGTCCCAGTAACTACTACCACGAGGAAAGTACTCTGGGTTCTCACGACGAACCAGGAAGAAGCCAGGGACATTCATGATAGTGTCCTCACCAGGAATACACGACCACAGGTTCTGCTCCAGCACAAGGGGCACAATGAGCTGGATGTGGTCAGCTGTCACCACCTGGTGGAGAAGAATTAAAAAGATTTTGAGGGACTTACTCTGTTCAAAATATCAGCTTCCTCAAACACAGGTCCCTCCATCTTGCATTCCCCCAACAATAAAGGAAACTAAGAATTCTTTCCTGTCAGCCTTTCAATTCAGATATAGACATAGTGAGGATTTAAGCCCAGGTCTGTCAGACACCAGAACCCGTGCTCATTCCCCATGCCAATCATCTTGGGGAATGAAGTACACAGGACATCCCCTAAGCCTGAAGACCCAATAAGAAAGAAAACTGGAAATGAGAGATAGGGAGAGGAATATGGGAAGGAGGAGGAGACCTCTTATAGTTTCCTAGAAAATGTGAGTATGACTAAAAAACAAGAAAGGGGTTTTAAAGACCAAAATAAATTCAATAAAATAAATAAATAAGATCTAAAAAACAAACAAACAAATAAAGATCCAAGATAGTGATCTCCAAATGCCCCCACTGTGCAGAATTCAGAAGCAGTAAGACTTCAGTCTTTCCAGCAAGCATGGGTCAATGATCTTTTGTACCAACAGCACTACTGAGAAGCATCTTGGTCAGTACCCAACCCTACCCTTCATGAGAACCACCTTGTTACCTGCAGGTCATCATAGAGGCTGCCACTCAGGTACATGTCCCGCAGTGGCATGTCAGGCAATTTGGCCCGCAGGAAGCCCCGGAGCTCAGCACATATGTCCACAGCAGCTTGCTTGGCCCGAGCCTGCTCGCCAGCAGGGATGGCGGCCCGGTTCCGGTAATAAGTAAGAAGTTTCTCCTGCAGGGACATGCGGAGTCGTGACTTCTTCAAGTCTACCTGGCCCTTCCTGGCCAATGGCTTGGTCTGGGGTGGGCAGAATGTATCTGCCAAGGTAAGAGAGAGAAGCATGTCAGCTCTTCCCAGGCTGCCTCGATCCCAGAAAGGGCTTGGCACAAAAGGCAAGCGCTAGCATGGTGCCTGGCACATAAGTGTTCAAGGAATGTCTGAGAGCCCACGGATAAGTCCCAGAAGGGGCAACAGGCTTTCTCACCTGTGTCGAAGGCAGAGGAATCTGTGGGCAGGGTCTGCAAGGAACGGCTCAGGCCTGTCTTCATGTCCTTGTTCAGCAATCGGGGGGAGCCCATCCAGTTGGGTTCTTCCCAGCTCCTTTTCCCTGAATGGCTCAGGCGGGTGGGGCTCGTAGGGGCACTGATTGCCCTATCGTACATCTGAAATGGCAGGAGAACCCCACACATGTACCTTCCTTCCTGTTTCCCTCCTCCCCAGCAGCTTTGCCCCAGTGAGTTCTAAACTACTAAACTACTATTTTTCAATACCTTTGTGGGTTTGTTTGGTTTTTTGTGGCATTTATCTTCAGATAGAGCAGGAGAGAAAGAGGGAGGAAGAGAGAGAAAGAAACATCAATGTGAGAGAGACACATTGACTGGTTGCCATCCACATGACCCCAGCCGGGGACGGGGATAAACTGCAACTGAGGTGCGTGACCTTAGTGGGAACTGAACCTGGGACTCTCTGGTTCATGGGCCGACGCTCTAACCGCTGAGCCAAACCGGCCAGGGCAATACTTTTGTGTTTTATTCTAGATTATGGAATACTTTTCTCCCTGTAGAAAATTTAGAAAATATGAAATGATATAAATAAGAAACAGATTTATCCGTAATGTCACAACCCAGAAATAAATATTAATATTTTGGTATATTTCTGGAAAAATTGATATATGTAACTAGGATCCTACTCTATATATACTTTTGAAACCTGATTTTTTCATTTATGATTTTTATCATTTACCCATATCAGTAAAAATGAACCAGTGTTCAACATTATGGTACATTTTCAGACTATACAACATTGTACCTTATGAATGTAATGCTGAACACTGATTAATTTATTTAACAAATACTTACTGAGTGACTACTGTGTGCCAAGCACTGTTCTAGGTACAAGACTAGATCACTAGTCCAGCCAGTGTGGCTCAGTGGTTGAGCATCGACCCATGCACCAAGAGGTCACCGGTTCAATTCCTGGTCAGGGTACATGCCCAGGTTGTAGGCCCCATCTCCAGTGGGGGGCATGCAGGAGGCGGCCAATCAGTGTTCTCTTTCATCGATGTTTCTCTCTCTCTCTCCCTCTCACTCTAAAATCCATAAAGGAAAAAAAGTAAAAGACTGGATCACTAAACCAAGAGACCCAAACCTTATCCTCATGGAGTTTTCAGTCTAGTAGAGGGACACAGGTAAAACATAAACAAGTTAAATACAACCCATGCAGAAAGCGATAAATGTGAAGAATAAAGTAGGAAAGGGAAACAGGAAGTGTGTATGTAGAGGGGGTATTGCTATTTTAAACAAGGTAGACAAGGAAGGATATTTTGGTTATTTACAATTTTTTTTACCTGCTGGAATACACTTCTTTATTTGTATCTGCAACAGTTTCTTTAGGCCAGAGACCTAGCAGTAGCCTTAACTGAATTCTCTCAAGGTCTCATCTAATAATGCCAAATGATCAAAGTTTCCTCCCTGAGCATCATCAAAGTCTTGGTCCAGGTCACCTCCACTCTGTAGAGGCAGCCTCCCACCTCTCCCACCCCTGGCTCAGGCTGCAGGCACTTACCCGCTTAACCGCCAGTGTAGCGATGCCCAGCATGGCTGCTCCACCCACCCCCAGCACCAGCCGGGCATTGGAGAGCACAAAATCAATGGCTGTGCCGATGCCATTGTCATCCTTCTTGCCTTTGCGCTCACCGGCGCCTGCCATTGCTCACCTGAGGATGAAGGCAGAACACAGCCATCACCACCTGGGACCTCAAGAACTGTCCCTCCTGTCTCCCCCATCAGGCCAGTCCCCAACCAGCTCAGGGTACTGTGAGTTCCAGTGAATCCTCCTGCCTCTAGCACTGCATGCTCTAGGGTCAAGAGGGAGATAGCAAGTCCTGTGATGTATTTGAATGTAAGAGGGGAACCTATCATGCTCACTGTAGGAAAACCTCTCCACTAGTCTACTGAAATTATACAAAGCATTAAGCTTACTTATTTTGGTCCTTTCTTGCATTAGAGTGAAGTACCCCACCACAGCCATCTCCCTTCCCTTGCCCAATGTTACAATGAAGATTGTGTTTTGATCCTTTGGCTACTGCTTCATGGAAGGTTAGATCTGAGAAGGTCTAATCTAATAGATTAGATGAGGCTCATCTTATCCCGTTGCATCACTTCACACATAGGAAGGTGACTTGTTAGAGGCCCCAGACAAAGGAAATGGCAGAGCCATCTCCAGAACTCAGGATTCCCAAATCCGACTGCAATGCTTTTTCAGTATCATATTTACCCTTGTCCACATCAAACTCTTCCTATTCTATTTACTTTCTGTAAAACAAAAAAACAAAAAACCCACAAAATGGCCCTGGCCGGTTTGGCTCAGCGGTTAGAGCATCGGCCTGCGGTCCGGAGAGACCCGGGTTCGGTTCCCGCTAAGGGCACGTACTTCGGTTGCAGCTTGTCCCCAGCCCTGGTTGGTCGTGTGGGTGGCAGCCACTCGATGTGTCCCTTTCACGTCGATGTTTCTCTCTCTCTCTCTTCCTCTCTCTCCCTCCCACTCTATCTGTACAAAAGATGGAAAAATGTCCTCGGGTGAGGATAAAAAAAAAAAAAAAAAACACCACAAAATGGCATGGACCAAACACCTGCACATAGGTACATGACTATAAGTCCCTATGTGAGAAAGGTTCAAAGAAGAAAATAACCCTCTGTGGACACTCCCACTTGACAAATGCTTTGTTTCCTGGGACAAGTGTGCAGGGGGCCTACAACGAGCTCAGTTGAGACTGGCACTGGGAGACTGAGCAGAAACACAAAGGATACTGTAGACTTGGCTGTTAACTGAAAAACAAAATAAACTCATCTGCTCAATTGCACTTGAAAAATGAACTAAAAATGTGGACACCTAAAAGGAGTTCTTAGGCACAGTACTGAAGAGGCTGGCCTCCTGGACACAGCTCAAGCGAGGCCAGCACACACTTGCTCCTTGGCAACAATGGAATCATCCTGAAGTTCTTCTAGTCCCCAAATAAGCCCTTTTCCCATGGAGTTAGAACCCTGGGCCCGACCCAGATAAAGGATGGCAAAGTGCTTCAGGCCTGAATGCTGCTCCTAATACCACTCCTCTCTCCTAGCTCCTGTATCCTGTACACCAGGAATTATGTAGGGGAAAACACTACTGTATACCATTCAGGATCCCAATATACCCAAAATGGGAGGATAGAGAAACATAAGGCCCTGGTGTATCTTCCAGTGTAAAGTGACATTCTTTCTTATACCATGTTACAACTGGGATTGCCAATTTCACAGTTCATGTGCGCTGCCTATACCTCTGCGCACCCCCAAAAAGAAAAGAAACCTTTCTGACTCTTATTCCAGCAATTGAGTTAACAGTCACTGTCAAGCCCCAAAATATTTTTCCCTAACTAGAGTTCACAACCTTGATGGCACTTTTCTCCACCTTTTATAGTCAATAGAAGCTTCAGGTTAGGGACATATGAGACCACTTGGCCAAATGAAATATATTGCCACTTCAAATGCACAGAGCAAGCAAAGCCAAGGAGAAGAGTTCAACTTTATATTTACAGGTGGGGTCAGGCAAGAATGCTAGTCAGCCTCTCTCCAGTGGCCACTGAGACAGAGTTGGGACATATAAACTCAACCGAGCAAAGTAACCCAGTCAGGACTATGTTGAATGTTACATGGTTCCCACACGTAACAACGACCAGTTTCATTTTTTTAAAACAAAAGAACCTTTACTGCTATATTTACAATAGGGAGAACCCCTGGATGCAGACACTTTAAGGGATCCCGATGTGATGCAGCAGACCAGAAGGGCACGTCCTCCCGCTGAGCAGAAGCCAGAAGGAGCCTCCCTGGGTCATTTCGTCCTTGGCCCATCTGATGATGACTGGTAAGAGCAAGACGGTGTTGTGGCAGAGTAGAAAAGAGCCTGAGTTTTCAAGTCAGAAATGCTGAGACCAAGTACTTGCCTTTGAGCCCTGACTTATTAGCTGGGTGACCTCAAATGAGTTAACCCCTCAACTATGAAAAGGGGATAATGATGCCTGTGTGGCCTAAATCATAGGGTGGTAGTAAGGAAAAAGCATCTACTAAAATACTGTATGTGAACACTTTACAAACAGTAAAAGTACTCCAAAAATGTGGGTTTATCATTAAGTCTTTTAAGATTACCACTTACAGGACAAAAGATCAACTTCCAGAAGGCAGTGAGCAATCCAGACTGTCCTCTGAGTTATATCTGACCTTCTGAGACAGAGCCAGGAATGGTCTCTAAAATTCATACTGATGCTGTCCTGGGCTTGAGATCAAAACTGTTGAAGGTGAGCAGGCTTATGGAAAAGCTTTCCGATAAACCACAGAACTTATATGCATGTACGCATAACCAATGGAGGACTTGGACAACAAAGCCAGGGACGGGGTTGGGGGCATGGGGAGGAGGGTGTCAATGGGGGAAAAAAGGAGAAATATCTGTAACAAAAATAAATTAATAAAAAAAAAGAAATGGTCACACAAAAACAAAATAATAAAAAAGGCTTTCCTACCCTAGTGCAGTATGCTCCTCTCATCCAATATCTGGGTGACCTGAAAAAGGAGACAGCATCCACAAGCTCCAACAGGGAGACATACGCTCTCATTTTAAAACTTAACTTGTTCCATGCCCTGGCTGACGTAGCTCAATGGTGAGAACATCGGCCCTTGCAGTGAAGGATAGTGTGTTCGATTCCCAGTCAAGGGCACATACCTGGGTTGCAGTTTCAATCCCTGGCCCTCGAATGGGGCACATGTGGGAGGCAACCAATCAATGTGTCTCTCTCTCACATCAATGCCCCTTCCTCTCTCTAAAATTCAATGGAATGCCCTGGCCGGGTAGCTCAGATGGTTAGAGCATCACCCCAATACGCCAAGGTTGCAGGTTCAATCCCCAGTCAGGGCACATACAAGAATCAACCAATGAATGCATAAATAAGTGGAACAACAAATGGATGTTTCTCTCTTGCATGCTCTCTCAAATCAATAAGTTAAAAAAAAATTTTTTTAATAAAAATCAATGGAAAAAATATCCTCAGGTGAGAATTAACAAACAAACAAACAAAATTAACAAACAAAAATATATGTTCCAGTTGAAAGAGCTTAAGAGCTTCTCCACTGTACATCCTCCAGTCAGTTTCTGCTGCACTAGCCTGGAGCCTCCTAGGAGACAGAAACTCCACCTGGCAAGAAGAGAGGGGCCTGGCTCCTCGGTACAATATAAAAGGAGCACTGGCCCTGGCCGGTTTGGCTCAGCAGTTGGAGTGTTGGCCTGCGGTCCAGAGAGACCCGGGCTTGGTTCCTACTAAGGGCATGTGCCTTGGTTGCAGTTTGCCCCTGGCCCTGGTTAGGGTCATGTAGGTGGCGCTCAGTTGATGTGTCTCTCTCACATTGATGTTTATCTCTCCCTCTCTCCCTCTTGCTCTATCTGAAGATGACTGCAAAAGTGTCCACAGGTGAGTATTAAAAAAAAAAAAAAAGGAGCACGGTTGTTTAATGGGGTCAAGAGTTTCAGTTTTGCTAGATAAAAAAGTTCTGGAGATGTTACACCACAGTGTGAATATTTTCTTTTTGGCTATTTTTAAAATATAACATTTATTGCTTAGATGATTTGATATAGAACAGCTTTTGTGCCCGGCCGGTGTGGCTCAGTGGTTGAGCATTGACCCATGCACCAAAAGGTCGCCAGTTCAATTCTCAGTCAGGGCACATGCCCAGGTTGTGGGCCCAATCCCCAGTGGGGGGCGTGCAGGAGGTGGCCAATCGATGTTCTCTCTTATCGATGTTTCTATCACTCTCTTCTCCCTTTCTCTCTAAAATCAATCAATCAGAGAACTTCTGGTCAAGATGGCGGGTAGGTAAACGCGGTATCGCGTCCTCCCACAACCACATCAAAGTTACGACTAAACGACAGAACAACCATCATTCAAAACCGCCTGAAATCAAGCTGAATGGCAGTCCTACAACTACGGAATTAAAGCAGCAGCCACATCCAGACTGGTAGGAGGGGCGGAGGCGCGAGGCGCTGGTCCCACACCCATGTGTGGAGGATAAAAATCAGGAGGACACCTCGGCTGGGAAGGTCCTCCCTGAGGACTGAGGGGTCCCCGTCCCACACCAGGTGCCCCCTCAGGGTTCCAGTGCCAGGAAGAGAAGTCCCCATAACTTCTGGCTGGAAAAACCAGTGGGAACTGAGGCTCAGGGAGGCTGAAGCGGCTGGAGCCCCAGGCAGCTCCTTAAAGGGCCCGCGCACAGACTTATCGGACTCTCTCCCTCTAAGCTTGGAGGGGAGGCAGCTAGAGGGGCACCAGAGATATACACGGAAGAACTGAGCTGTTTAGCACTGGAGCGAGGGCTGGAGAGGGGGCTTTCTCCAGGACAAACGTGCTGTAAGAGGCCTTTGTTCCTTTGGTGAGCCCTTCCCGGGGCGGCAGACAGCAGCCATACCTGGGACTCCAGCAACCTGGCTCACACTAGTTGCCCCGCCCTGGTGATTCCCTGAGGCCCTGCCCTGCCCCACCCAACTTTCAAGCCCACCCAAGCTGTTGCCACTTGCTTAACCACAGGATTGGCCTGTCTTGGATCCTGCTTCAGGTTTTCCTAAATTCTTTCAAACGAGCAGCATCTGGTCTCAGCGAGCCCCATACCTCTCATTAAGTAATACACAGAAACAAACACAGGGAGGCAGCCAAAATGAGGAGACAAAGAAACAGATCCCAAATGAAAGAACTTAGCGAAAAGGAGATAAGCAACCTAACGGATACTGAGTTCAAAATACTGCTTATAAGGATGCTCAATGAACTTAGTGAGAACCTCAGTGAACTTAGGGAGGGCCTCAAGAGCATAAAAAAGGACCAGTTAGAAATCATGGACACACAGTTAGAATTGAAGGAGGCATTAACTGAAATAAAGAATAATTTACACAGCTTCAATAATAGAGTATGTAAATCCAAGGAGCAAACCATCGATTTGGAATATAAGGAAGCAAAAAATGCCCAATCAGAACAGCAAAAAGAAAAAAGAATCCAAAAAAATGAGGATAGTGTAAGGAGCCTCTGGGACAACTTCAAGCGTGCCAACATTCGCGTCTTGGGGGTGCCAGAAGGAGAAGAGCGAGAACAAGAAATAGAAAACCTGTTTGAAACAATAATGGCAGAACACTTTCCTAACTTGGAGAAGGAAACAGACATACAAGTCCAGGAAGCACAGAGAGTCCCAAACAAGATGAACCCCAAGAGGCCCACACCAAGACACATCATCAAAATGCAAAAGGTTCAAGACAAAGAGAGAATCTTAAAAGCAGCAAGAGAAAGTTCCTACCTACAAGGGAGTTCCCATTAAGCTGTCAGCTGATTTCTCAAAAGAAACTTTGCAGGCCAGAAGGGAGTGGCAAGAAATATTCAGAGTGATGAAAAGCAAGAACCTACAACCAAGATTACTCTATCCTGCAAAGCTGTCATTTAGAATCGATGGACATATAAAAACTTTCCTAGCCAAGAAAAAGTTAAAGGAGTTCATCACCACCAAACCGTTATTATATAAAATGATGAAGGGTCTTTTTGAAGAAAAAGATAAAATATATGAACAAACAAAATGGCAATGAATACAAATCTATCAACAATGGAATCTACAAACATAGTGAACAGGTAGAACAGAAACATTCTCATAGATACAGAGAACATTTTGTTGGTTGCCAGTTGGGAGGGGGGTTAGGGGGAATGGGTGAAAAAGGTGAAGGGATTAATAAATACAAATTCAATGCTAGACTGACAAACCTCAAAGGGAAAGGGGTTGGGGGGTGGGAAGAAATAAACCAAAGAACTTATATGCATAACCAATGGACACAGACAATAGTGTGGGAAAAGGTGGGAGGGGGGCAGGAGTGGGGAGGAGGGGGTCAATGGGGGAAAAATGTGGAACATCTGTAATACATTTTACATCCAACAATAAAGATTTAAAAAATAAAATAAAATCAATCATTGATTATCAAAAAATTTTTAAAAATTAAAAAAAAAAAAAAAAAAAAAGAACAGCCTTTTTTCTCATTTTGAGTTTGGAAGTACTATACAACTCAATACAAAAAGAAACAAAAAGTACCAAAACCAAATTTGTGGTTTTGTTCGAGTAGCATAAACAATGTGAATATTCTTAACACTACTGAACTGCACACTAAAAAATGGTTAAAATGTTTAAAAGTAGGAACACTGACCTGGTGGGCAGGGCTGGGGATGGAGAATCTGAGTGCTGCCAATATTTCAGGCAAGTTTTATAACCTGTCTCCCTAGATAGAGAAATGGGAACAGAAATACTCATCACCCCAGTGGAGGCCCTGCAGCTTCCTAAGGTGGTAACACAGAACTATGAATATTCTAACTTCTTTTACTTGAAAGTTCATACAATTTAAACATATCTGGCTTGAGTACACATGAGACCAGCTAACATGCTGAGTGTGTACCATGTGCTGGACATTTTCACATATTAATTCCCTTAATCCTCACATCAACCCTATGAGGTCAATCATATTGTTATCTCTGCTTTTCATAGGTTAAGTAACAGGCCCAGGGTCACCATGGCTAAATTGTACCAAGATTTGAACCTAGAGCTCATGATGCAGTTTACGGGGTCTCGGTAGCTTGCTCACATCCTCTCTATTAACCACTAGACCACAAGCTTCTGGGGGGCATTTTGGCTCATTCACTGCTAATACCCAGGGCCATCAGTGTTTGACACACAGTACTTGTTGAACAAATGAGCTATTAACCCTGTGGCTTTTTCTTTTTCTGAGGAGGGGCTGGTGGCAACCTGTAATCCAACTCACAGTTAAAATAGATTGGGAGCACAAAGACTAACTCTATTTCATTCCAGACCCACCACCCTTCCCTGTGCAGGCAGGCCCCATGACATCAACCCACCCTGGCCCTACACTGCGAAAGACTGGTCTGCCAATCAACCCAAGTGGCTGAGAATCAAAAGCCATTCCATAAAGCTCCTCCTCCTGCTTTCCCTCTATAAGTTGAAAACAGTACCCTCTACCCAGCTGGCAAGCCTTACACCTCAGTTAGCCTTCACTCTTCTTTCTCCTCCTCTTTCCTCAGCCAACTGGTCACCAAGTCCTGCTGCTGTACATGTATTTATGTGCGAACACCCCACCACCTCAGTCCCTCAATCTCATCTGGCCATATTCGCTGCCTCTACAATCTCACCGATTCATTCTCCAGGCTGCCACTGCCACAATCCCTCTGCCACGACATTCCACTGCTTTCAACGCTCTGATGGTCTCCCTACTATCAGATGTCACAATCTCCTCAACAGGGGATTCAGTGTCCTTCTGGACCTGGCTCAGCCTCAACTCCAGCCACCTGCCTTACAGGTACACCATTCTAGCCATGCCAGACTCAGGTTTCCAGACTAAAAAGTACAGCTTCCACCTCCACATTTGCTTATTCTTGCCGATCTACTCACTGACCTATTTCTCATTTGAGGCAGACCTCAAACGTCCTCTTTCCTACATCTACCTGTGATTCCCCCTACCACCACCTCCCCAAGGCAGATATGTTCTCATCTTTGTCTCTAAGCTCTGCACCTAACCCTCTACTACAGAGCTGCTCGTGCTGGCATTATGTCCTGGTGATCTCCACATTCGACTTGAGTCTAATTAGAGTCCCTTGATGGACGTATCATTTGTTTCTAACCCAGAGCCTATCAGAATGCCAGCACCACAAAGGCCCACTGGGAAAGTCACTGAATTAAATATAACCATTAGTTTATAGTTAGGGACTTCTTAATAACACTGGTATTGGGAGGAAAGAGCTAATACCACTTGCCAAGAAATTCTAAGTGCTGTGTGTGCACTGTCTCATTTAATTCTCATAACCTGAAGGGGTAGGTACTGTGATGTCCCTTTTACAAGTGAGGAAATGGAGGCTTGGAAAGGTTTAGTGATTTGCCCTAAATCCCACAGCTGTTAGCAGCAATGCCAGGATGTGAAGCAATGCTATCCTCTGACGTCTGTACACTCTGTTTGCTTTATATTACAGACTTGTAATGGAATATAGTTATGTTTTGGGGAGTGTGATCAGGCCCACAAGATAACTGAATGCAGTGAAAACTAAGCCAGCCTGGAACTGAACTCTAATAGTTCTAACCAATGTCTTTTCTAACATTTTCACATGTAAATTGTTCTACTTGAAATAAAATGGTGATAACAAACCTATTCTTGTAGGACTTGAAACTCAGGGCCTATTTTTTCTCAATAAGAGAATTTACTTCTGTTAACATGTCTGTAGTTTCTCCATTGATTTCTATAATGATTAAAGGACTTTCGTCACTGAGCGAAAAGGGTCTCCCTTTCCTGGTCCCCTACCTCAGAAAAAAAATGAAACTACAGAAACAAGGGTCTACCCACCTGAAGCTTCTTACTGCATCTGTGAGGTGGGGGTGGGAGAGAGCAGGAGTATCTACAGAAGGCACCTTTGCCCTCTTTCCCTTGGAATTAGGGTGGGAGAGGAAGGAAGAGGATCCTAAATAATCCCCCCCAATTTGCTGTGGAGGAAGACCAGGCCCTTTTCCAGCTGCCTCTCCCGGGCCTCAGGGTCCTCTAGCTTCTGATTTTTCCGGAACTCACGGCGGATGGAGGCAAGATAGAAGTCCCGATCAGTGTAGCGAAGCTCTCGGCCCTGGCGCAGCAGAGCCCGGTAGAGACTCAACACCGCCTCTCTGCTCCATGGGGCCATGGGGGACTGGCAGCAGCTGGGCGTCAAGCTATAGCAAAGGGAAAAAAACAGAAGCCTAGAATCAGAACTGATAAGAGATGGGCCTATAGAGATTATTTAAAATTCAAGAATTCTTAATCTAGGTCTAGGAGACCCCCAAGGCCACTACAACTTAATATAACTTAGTGGCAGAGCTAAGACTAGACCCCAGCCTCTCTATCCCCGCTTCTGGGAAAGTATAGTTTCTGCTGAAAGGCCAGGACTCGGAAGCTGAACTGCCTGGGCTTGAATCCTGGCTCTGCCACTTACCACAGGACTTGGGGCAATGTACTTAACCCCTCTACACATCAGCTTTCTCACTTGTCAAATGGAAATGATACTAACAGTACCTACTCCAGTTTTGAGAACTGTGTGAGCTAATACATGTAAAGCACCTGTAATAGAATTTCACCACAGGGGTGGTCCAGACTTGTTGAATGACTCTCAGCCATACTTAAATCCTGACACCACCACTAATGAGCTCATCACTTTGGGCAAGTTTCTTAACCCCTCTGTGCTTACCTGTTTCTCATCTGTAAAACGAGAACGAAAACTGTATTCTGCCCATATGGCTGGTATAAGGACAAAATGAGTTAGTGTATGTGAACGTGTTTAGAACAGCACTTGGGACATAACTATCACTAGTGCCACAGCTTGGTTAGTAAGTGCCTAATAAATATTAGATTTAGTTCCACATAAACTGCCACCATCTTTCGGTAACAATAAACCCTTTCACAAGTAGAGTGTTACCTCGGTAAAGTGCTTTGTCATCTGTTATCATATTTAAGGAGCCTATGAGGTGGTCAGGGCTCATAACAATAGTGAACACTTACTGTTTACTACATACCACGCCTGCCTGCTCTAAGCATGTCCCACATCTCACTGTCAACCATCCCAGTGTCATCATTATCCCCATTTTAAGTGGAGGCGACTGAAGCTCCCAGAGGGAGGGAACTTGCCGAGGGAACACGACTGGAGGGTGGCTGCACCCTGACGCCGATTCCGGCCGCTGCAAGGGCAGTTCCTCTCGCTGGGGCCTTGCATGTATGTAAACAGCACTTCTGGATGCTCGTACTTTCCCAGCACCGCGCCTGGCACGTACCAGGAGCTCAAAACTAAGCTGAATGAAAAAGGGAATCCTCACGACGTCCCTATGTGGAAGGAATGTTCACTCCCGTTTCAGAAATAAAGTAATGAGACTGAGTGGGGGAGATATCTGGTAAACAGATCTAGACTTTGGGCCCAAAGTCGGTGGCCATCAGCCTCGGGCCTTGCTACCTTCCTGCGCGAGCTTGAGCAAGCCACTGTCCCCGTCCCATTTCCTCCACTGGAGAACTCCCCTCGGCCCCAAGGGCCTCCCGGGGTGGGAGATGAACCCAGAAAATCAACAGGAAAAGTGCTTTATGAGGTGGGAGGCGACTGTCACGTAGGGGCTGTTAGTACGGGGTCTCTCGACGAGTGAGCAGCTGAGTCCCGGCAGGTCCCCAGTTCCTCTGCCCATCCTGGGGGGCACCGGTCCAAGTCGGGGTGGGAGACCTAGAGGCTGGGGCAGGCCGGCTCGGGGCGCCGGAGCGGCTTCGCGGAGAATGCCCGGGGTGGCTGGGACGAGACCCCGGCGTCCAGGCCCGTAGCCCCGGGCCGGATGGGGAGCACCGGCCACCGGTCGGAGAGGAGGCTCGGCGAGCCCCGGCCCCCGGCCCTCACTGCTCCCCTCACTCACCCGCGGACCGCGCGCGCTACCACTCCTCGGGATTCGCCTCTAGCCTGGTACCTCTCCCCGGGTCACCCAGCAACATGGCCCCTTCACTTCCGGGACACGACCTTGTGCGCGGAGCTGAGGGGAGGGACTACAGGGAGTACGGAGGCGGGCGGGGGCGGGCGGACTTCCGGTCTTCCTAGCTCCAGCCTCTCTCGGGGCGGGGCCAGGAGCTTCGTCTGGCCGCGCCCCTTGGTCGGGCCTGCCCACAGTCCTGAGCCCCGCCTTCTGCGTGACGTCGACAGGGACAGGTCTGCTGAGGACGCTCAGGCCCCGCCCCCCGGAGGGAGCGGCGGATGCCAGCCCCAAAGAGGAAAGCGCTAGGGGGCGTCGGGCCGAACCTTAGCCCCTTCTGGACCAGGACCACGGAGGTACTTGCGGGAATTCTAACATAATCTTCCCCAGCATAGCTTTCAAAGCTCTTCCAAGCCCATTTTCTCAGATCGATTTCTTTATTCCTTCGTGCTGTTCCAGATTCCCAGGCCCCTTGGCTCCTGGCACACTACTGCCCTGCAAGGTCCACCTCAAACGTCCCCTCCGGGCATTTCCAGCCTCTTCCCTGCCCCTCATCCAACACACTTAGGTGCCTCCTTTGGGCCCTGCCGAAATGTCTGCACACTGTTAGGGTTCTGAAACTGGTCAACAGCAAAACATATTTATTGGCGCCTGTTATTTGCCAGGCACTGTTTTTTTTCATTTCTCCACTGGCATCTCTGTCTCTCAGCAGCTTTGAGGGCAGAAGCCATGTTTTATGGAATCTGTAAACCCCCTCCCCCAGTGCCTCACTGGGTGCCCAGCTCTGAGTGAAGCCAAGGGCCAGCTGGCTCCCAATTCCGGCTCCACCATTTAAGGACAGCTGCCCTCTGGCAAATTTCCTAATCTGTTTTAGCCTGGGGACTGTTGTGAGGATTAAAAGGTATCTAGCGTTTAAGGAGTAGTGGCTCATCCATTCATTGATGCAAAAAATCCTTGTTGAGGGTCTCTAAAGTGCAAAGCACTGCCACAGGCATTGCAGAGAACAGAGAAATCAAGTCCCTTGGCTCAGTCTCCCAATACTTCCAGGATCTGACCACTCCCTTCCTCACTGCCACCTCCCTGGTCTGAGCTCTATCAGATTTTATAGACGAGAAAACCAAGACCCAGAGAGGTTTGGTAGTTTCTCTAAGACACTGAGCTGGGCAGCAGAGAAGCTTGCAGTGGAACCCAAGTCTGTCTGACTCTAAAACATATTTTTCCCACTCTCCCAGGCTGCCCTACTTTGCTCTTTACACAAATAATTTTGTGACCCAAGTAAATCTAAATGGTGACATTTCCAGCTGGAAGACCAAGTGACCTTTCATATCCCTCCTGACCCTGCTGTTCTATAGAATATTATTTTTAGAAGGGAAAGAGGGGGTTCCACTGGGGGGTCTCCCTTCAGATCAGTTCCCCTAAACTCCTCTTGTTCTTCAGGGTTTTCTCTTTACTTCTAGGCTCACAAAGCTCCGCCTGCTGCCAGTGCTACCATGGCAATGTGTGGGAGGGGACAAGACAGGGCAGAGGCAGGCATCTGGCACCCACATGTATTCATGGTGACTTTGTAGACTGGAGACCCTAGCAAGGGGCACTGACCCAGATCTCAGGGCTCTGCTGGGTTTAACAGGACAAGGAGCTTTCTGGGACCTCTCTGACTGATATAGCAGTGGGGTTTCTTTAAGATTTTTTAAAAATTGATTTTTAGAGAGAGGGAGGAACATCATTGTGAGAGTGAAACGCATCAGCTGCCTCCTTCACGCCCCCTACCAGGGATCAAACCTGGACAGGTAAGCATCCTGAGGTAGACCAGGGAGGAAGTGATGGCCTGCAAGGTGTGCTTCAGGCTGTATTGCACCAGTACCACTAGTCATTCATGGGTTTGCATCCCAGCTCCACCTCTTGATGGCTAGGTGACCTTCAGCAAGGTTCTCAAACCTCTTTGAGCCTTGGTTTCTACACTCGTGAATGGGGTTAATATAAGTACCTAAGCAATCAGACCTTGAAATTGACTCCTGCTAACTAAAATGGAGGGAGAGATAAGTAGGTCAAGCAGACTGCTGCAATGAGAATCATAACTGTGGCTGAATTTTAGGGAATTCACTGGGTGATGGAACAGGGAGTAGTCTAGGCAAAGGATGGGGTCATGGCCCTTAGGAGAGCTCAAAGGACTGGAGCCCAGAGAATGCAGGAAAAGAGGTCCAAGATAAGACTGGTAAGGAAGGCAGGGCCCAGCAGGCCACAGCTAGGAATTTGGCCCTGATCCAACTGCAGTGGGAAGTCTGTGCCAAGATCAGTCCTGCATCTTGGGAAGAGCATCCTGGCTGCTTTATGGGGACTGGACTGGTGGGCTGAGACCTGCAGGAGATCAGTTCCCAGGCCACTGCGGCTTCCCTTGGGAGTCATCAGTGGACAGCAAGAGTTAACACTTACTGAGCATCTCCTGGTGCCAGCACTTGTACACACCAATCCCCTAGCTCTCATCACAGCCCCGTGAGGATAAGGGCTGAAGAGAAAACGGCAAATGGGAAGGAGACCGTGATTTTTCTGGAAAGGATAAGGGCAAGGTGAGGGGACAGTTTAAGGAGAACGTTGTTAGAGGTGTTATGTGGGGTTGGAGTGATGGCACAGAGGAGACAGAGGGGAGAGTGGGAGAGCAGGCCAGGTATATCTTTACCTGTGGGGGAGCAGAGCAGGGAGGCCCCAGGCTTCCTACAGAAGGCAGAGTACCCTAATGCCTGCATCTTACCAGCCTCGTCCCCTTCACTTTGCCCAGTAGGGTACAAATTTTATAAAATTGAAACCCTCTGTACCTGCTTGTTATCCTGAATTGGAGAAAAATTGCTACTGGATGACAAGACAGAAAAAGCTCAGCTCAGCCCAGCCCTCCCAGGGGAGGACCAGGGTGGAGTGAAGGTACAGGCACTGTTATTATCTGGCTGATGGAGGAATTGGATCAGTAAAGCTCTAGGATGTGAGCCAGCCAGGGACCTGGAGATCACTCTCAGAAAGAGCCCCCTCCCTCATAATGGAGTTCACTATAATCAGATGTCATCGATCCTGTATTCACCAGACTAAAATCTGATATCTCTGGACAGGAGTGAGGTTTCAAGTGAGTGAAATCTTTGCTGCCCACGTTGTGTTGAAAAGGGTGAAGAGAATGTAAGCTTGTTTGCTGAATGCCCTCCCTTTGCCAGGTGGCAGGAATGGAGGGCCAGGGACTGGCAGATGCGCAGGCTCAGAGCCTAGATCCCAGCATCCCCAGTTCCCACTATGCAACCTCTGTTTCAGGACTTAGGAGAAAGGTGAGGAGGCTGAGTACAGTGCCTACTCCAGAGCAATTGCTCAGTGATTATTTGTTTTCCTTTTACATTCTTTATCCCTGTTGATCCCTACTACAGTCCTGTGAGGGCTGGGTATCAGTGTACCCATTTTACAGATGAGGCAGCACCATTCAGGCTGATTATGGCCTCCACCTCCACTTCCTCATCCTCAAGAGACAAACAGGACCAAGAAGTGTTCTCCTCGCTACCCAAAGAGCTTTGTGAGCCCCAGACTATTATAAAAGATAGCTTTCCAGGTTTGCTCAAATGTTTAGAAGATCTGGCAACACTAGGCTCCCCACCTATGCTGGGGAACAATCACTGCCTTTGGACAGAGTATGAGCTCCCCAGCTTGCCCTAATCCCCACCACTCCCTATTTCTCATCCATGGGTGCTCACTCCTTTCCATTACCTGGGGCTCCTGTAGTCTTCTGAGCCTGCCAGGCCTTGTGAGGGTTTCTCATCCTACATGAGAAGGGAAAAGAATCGAAGAGAAAGCCTGGCTACCCACCAGAGTCACGATGAGTACGCTCTCGGACATATTTTCCCAGCTCCAACTGTAAAGTTCATCACAAAGCACTGAACTTTAAAAAAGAAAGACACCTGAAATGGCATAGCTTGTTTTGAACTTGGACTCAAGTCCAAGGTAAAAGCCTCCAAAGGCACTGAAGCCAAAGCCCTAGGTAGAGCCTGGGAGCTTGACTCCTGACGGTACTGGGACCTGCAGGCCTCCCAACCCATCTGGCAGGAGTTCCAGAAGAAGAGAATGCAGGGGTGAAGAGATGAGCGCTGAGGATATGAAAGTGTTGCAGAAGGCAGATGGGTATGGAGGGCTTAGGGTCGCTGGGCTTAGGGTCCGGGTGCAATGAATGGCAGCTGTCGCGGCTGGTAGAAACCTGGGAGTTTATCAGCCTCAAACCCTCCCTGCCGGCCCCAACTTGTACACATCACACACTCCAGCCCAGAGAGAGAAGACTGGTCAAACTGTACTTTTAAAACTTTTTATATCATTTTGTGTTGTTCCCTAGGCTTGGTTTTCTTTTATAATTATACTTTCCCAAGATCCTAATGTTTATACATTTGCTTGTCCATTTGTGTAAACTGCCTCCAACCCTATGTGGCATCCAGTGAGAAGGAGAGGAGAGCTGGGAGGGAGCCCAGCGGCCTGTAGCCGACATGCCTCGTCCTCCCACTAGGAGGCAGTACAGCACCGTCAGAAGGGTGGTGGAGCTCCTGGTCCTAAATCCTGCCTGGGAGCTGTGTGCCTTTGAGCAATTTCTACCCTTAATCTCTCTAACTCCTAGGCTCACCACTTCCAATCTCCCAGGCTGGAAAGCGGGAGGACCCCCGAAAATGCCATTAAACTCCACTAGAGAAAAACTGACCCTCCAATGACCACTATCATCTATCTCGTGGGATTATTTGAGGTACCGTGTACAGAGTGTCTGGCACATGCCCAGGAGATGCTCAACATTTGGGTCCTCCTACTCCTGTGGTTCTCAACCTCAGGGGACATTTATTTAGTAATGTCTGGAGACATGGTTGAGTGCCACACTTGGGGGAATGAATGCCACTGGTATCTAGTGGGGAGAAGCCAGGATGCTGCTAAACACCCTGTAATGGACAGCTCCGCACAAAGAATTATCTGGCCCACAATGTCAGTAGCGCTGAGGTGGAGAAACCCTGGCTTACTCCCAGTTTTGAGCTCCTAGAGGACAGAAAATGAGTCTCATCCATTTCTGTATCTTCCTCAGGGCTGCTGTCCAGTAGAGAGTCTGTAATTGAGCATAGGATTGAGTTGAAAAGCAAGCAGTGGCAAAAGGGTGGCACAGTTATGGTGGCTGAGACCGGTGGGTGTCAGAACAAAAGGACTAATTGTCACAGAGCGGGTCACGTGCCTAACTGCATTAGCATGGGGCTTCCTGAGAGATAAACTCGATTTGCAAAAACAAAATTGCTTCCCAAGCATCCTAATCAGATTGCTTTAAATGCGAGCCATCACAGGGACCCTTTAAGAGCTTTATGGAATTGAGCACCCCCTATGGAGCCTCTGCCCCAGGAGGTGATCACGGTGAAGTGGATCTGCTGAGTTAGGAGATTCCCTGTCTCCTACAAATCTCAAGAATGTTGTCTTCTTCCTCCCTCCTGTCACCAACTGCATGTAAAGTGTTTGGCAGCACCTTGTGAGTGCTCAGGAGACACTAGCCCCTGCTCTGGCCACCAACACTGTGGTCACTCCTTCCTGTCTCCAGCCTAGGTCTCAAAATGTGTCCGCTCCCACCATCTCTGAGACTGTCCTTATAAAACACCCAGAGGGCCCTGGCCGGTTTGGCTCAGCGGTTAGAGCGTTGGCCTGCGGTCCGGAGAGACCCGGATTCGGTTCCCGCTAAGGGCGCGTGCCTTGGTTGCAGTTTGTCCCCAGCCCTGGTTGGGTCGTGTGGGTGGCAACCACTCGATGTGTCGCTCTCACGTCGATGTTTCTCTCTCTCTCTCTCCCTCTCACTCTATCTGAACAAAATATCGAAAAATGTCCTCAGGTGAGGATAAAACAAACAAACAAACAAACAAACAAAAAATAATAAAACACCCAGAGGGCCCTCTTCCTAGGACAATGTCAGTATCCATGGGCCCCAGAAGAAGCCTCCAGGAAGCCCCCCACATTCTAGGGCCCCAGGCACCATCACCGCACAAGCTGCTAAAGCCACCGTCCTCACCTGCCCCAGAGGGTTGATGCAGGACCAGTGCTGTAAATCCAGGTCCAGCCCTGTGCTGCCATCAAGTGGCTATATGACCTTAGGACCCCACAGGCATAGGGAGGAAACAACTGAGGCAGACGCATTGGTTTCGATGACCCAAGAGCACGACTGTGGGAGAATTGCTGCCCTCTCAGCAGAGGCACCAGTCTTAATCTAGATCCCCAGAGATGCCCCCACCTTGGGAGGGTGGGTGTTGCCAGTCCCAGGCCACCTTCTCCTTCCTTCTGGGGACCCCTGTCCCGTGCCTTCCCTTTCTAAGCCCGTTTCCACCAGTGGGAGGGAAGGATGCCCTCTGGTGCTGGTGGAGGTAACTGCATCCCTCCTCACCAGCCATCCAGTCCTTGGAAGGCTCTCACCCCCCAGCAAGAGTGGCTTTAGGAAGACCAGAGCCACCCACTTGCAACCCTCCTTGACCCAGAGCATCCCCAAACCAGCCACACATGCACACTCTGCAGACTTTGTAGCTGTTTTTATTATTAATATTATCTTAAGCATCCCTTTAAGGGTGAAATGAAATCCAACCATTTACAGAGAAAATGATTTCAGAATGTACATATTGATTTTCTCTTACAAAAAAAATAATGGTGTCCTTAAATTATACATTTCCCAGGGCCCTGCTATCGGCTTGGGCAAGTCCTGTCCCCACCCCAACTGTCACCTGTGTCCCCAGAGCTCTCCCACACCTGCCCTTGGGAACTGACATGATCTCTGGGTGGGTTGGGCCTCCTTGAGTCTACAGGTCATAGGGCAGGTGTTCCCAGGAAAAGAACTCTGGGTATGTTGACAGAGCCAGTGGTGCAACCGCATTCACATTCACAGTTTGGTTTCCCTTCATACTGGGGGAGTGGCCCAGGGCCCTCCTGCCCCCCCCCCCCCCCAATTCCCAGTGTATGATGTGATTATAGGTTAACTCTTCAACGCCATGTTTTGGCTCTCACTCCTCTGACAGCTGTCATCTCCACCCAATGGCCAAGCCTCCACTTACTTGAACAGCCTTCCTGGGTCTAAGGAAAGGCAGGGTTTGGCAGGCCTGACTTCCTCCCTTCTTCTTCCCCTGCCCCTGAGCCGGTGAACTGGAGGCCAGCCTGGGAAGGTGGCATTCTTCAGCAGCAGGATGGAGCAGGGGCATTGGGTAAGGAAGCCGGCCAGGAGGGAGATTTCTGGGCTGGGACTCAGGCATGATTCAGAAGCCCTGAGGCTGCCTGTCCAGGGGTGAGCAGTAGATGCTGACCACCTGAGCCACTTCTCAGCCCCGGGAGGGATCAGCCTTCTTCATTCCTGCCCACCAGAGACTGCTCCACAACCAGCTAGCTCCCCAGACCATGCCCACACCGGGAACATCCCAAACAGAACTATGGCAAAGGGAACACCCTCCTCTTCTGGCCCATCAGAAACACCCCGAGAAAGTCCCTGCTGGCAGCCAAAGGGTACTGGGGTGTGGTTGGGGCCAAGACAAGCTGGGAGGTAGTGGGCACTCAGCTGTACAGGAGGATTCTCATCCCTTGGACTAAAAGACAGACAGACAGATGGACCCTGCATCCCCTTTAGCTTTGTTTTCCAGACTCCCCAAGGGCTTTATGCCTCAGTCATTTTGGGGAGTTGCAGAAGGTGTGGCCACAGGCTCCAGATCCCGGGAAAGGGCCTGGGCCCTGTTCCCACATCCACACACAAGCATCTATGTACAGGGACACACCGACAGACACATACGAATACACACAAGCATGCACCCATGCCCATAAATACACATACACGCACAAACATGTACCGTTCCACAGGCAGCCTCTGCACCCTGGCATCACTGGTGAGCATCCAATGGGGCCTAGGAGAGGGGGTGTGTTATCTTTCCCATAAATGCAGGCTCACTGCACCCCAGCCCTGGACTGGAAGTGAGGGGAACAGGAGCAGGTTGTTCTAGGAGCTCCAAATATGAGAGGAGGATCTTATGACTGCAACAGTCATTTCTACCCTCTTTCCCCCTCCCCCTGTGCCAGAGATGCTCCTTGTCCCCTGTATCCACTCTCTCTGCCTTCCTTCAATAAGAAAACTAAGCTGAGGCGGGGCACGTGGAGCCCAGCTTCCCTTGCAGCTACTTGTGACCATGTGACTAAGTTCTGACCAGCAAGATGCGATCAGAAGTGACTTTGCCATCTCTGGCTCATGCCATTAACAGTGTGCATTTCCCCTGCCTTTCTCTGCTTCCCCCGGGCTTGGGTGCACATATGACGGTGGGAACTGGAGCCACCACTCTATCCAGAACAGAAAGGTGTGTATGAGGAAAGCAGAGCTGCCCTGTGCAATCCAGACCATCTCCCTCTAGCCAGTTAAAGTAGAAACAAGCTTCTGTCTTGCTTAAACAACTGCATTTCAGGGTCTCTTAATTACAGCAGCTTAGAATCTACTTTAATGAATACATCTCCTTCCCTCACAAGGCAAACTAAGAGGAATGAGATGACATACAACTGGCCTTAATGTCCCTCATGGGTCCCTAGCCAACACCAAGAAGGGATACAAGGGTAACTCCATCTGAGCTAGTGGAGAGCTGGGGCTGTGGATTCCAGCAGGAAGGGGTGATGAGGCACCCCTGTCTGACCTAGTAGGCTGGCTGATGTCCCATCCCACCCTGAGAATTGGACTCCTGGCTTTACAAGGACCAAATGGGTAGCCCACAAGACAGAAATATAAAAAGTAAGAAGGAACATCAAAGCCAGGTTCGGAACTAAAAGGAAGACTCCCCAGGCTTCCCCAAGCCCTCATCTACATCAGCTCAGGAGCGTCTGGGGTACAGGTGGGTGAGTTCTTGGCTCCTTCTGGCCCAGCACTTCTGAGGACACTGTGCTTCCTTTCAGCTGGATGCTGTTTTTTATCCCCTCCTTTCATGGTGTCTCCTCTTCCTCCTGGACCCAAATGCAACTATTTACAGAGCTGGAGACCTCCTGGCTCGGCCCCTTCCCACTCCAGGTCCAAAGCCCCAGGAAGCCAAATGGCGTGCTTCTCCCTAGCAGGGCTGCAACTCCCACATGGCCACGGTGGGAGCTCCTCCAGCCCCCTTCCCCACCCTCCCCTGCTAGCCAATTGCCATCATGCACTCTCTGCTGGCACCTCCTGGGCACAGCACTCTTGGAGGGCAGGTCAGGCTCCTCTCTCCCAATGAGGAATTACGTTTTTTGAGCTCAAAGGCCTGACCCCTGATTCACAAGGGCTCGAATAGGGAAGATTCTGCCACTATCCACTACTGGTCCTCTCAAGACCCCCCCAGAGATCAGGAGGAGGCAGAAAGACAACAGAGGGCCATCGCCACCCTCTGCCCTGCCACTGGCCCTAAAAATCATGCAGCCTTAGCTTTCCACCACTTCCAAGTTGGCCCTGGCGGGGGGTCTTCCCTCGGAACCCCTGTTCCGCGGCCCACCTTCCGCCGTGCTCTTGGGCTGCTGGTAGGGGTTGTCCAGCAGGTAGCGGAACTGGTTGTAGTTCTGGAGCAGGTACTTAGGGGCATACATGTGTTCGCTGGGATCCGCCGGGGGGTACTCCTGCTGCGTGCCATCGAACCAGCCCCCGGTACGGATCAGGCTCCGAATGTAATTGAGGTCCCGCTTGTCCTCGTAGTCGCCCCAGCGGGGGAAGTCACCGTTCTGGGCCGACACGAGCTTGAAGTAGATGCCCTCGGGCGTGAAGCACCAGGAGCAGTGCCAGCCGGCGAAGTGCAGGGGGCTGCCCAGCGACCACTGCACCAGGATGTGGCCGGTGCGGTTCTCGTAGTGCCGGAAGTTGGGCATGGTGTAGTACTGGCGGCGGCGCAGGCGGATGCCGTCCAGCCCGTACACCGACTGCAGCATGTCCACCGTGCAGCCCGACACCACCTCCAGCGTGCCCGGCTGCTTCCAGAAGAAGCCGTAGAGCGACTTGCGCATGTGGAAGGCGAAGGGCTCGGTCCAGCCGTCGTAGAGCTTGAGGAAGAGCACGCCGTCGCGCGCGGGGATCTCGTCGGCGTCGTCGATGATGAAGACGTCGTCGGGCCGCAGGTTGCGCAGGCGCGCCACGCCGTCCTGCGTCAGGAAGGTGCGCAGGTAGTCGTCGGCGATCCAGCCGTCCTGCCGCCCGCCCGGCGGGAAGTGGTCCAGGAACACGTAGAGCACCTTGTGCCGGATGTACTCGAACGTGCCGTTGGTCAGCATCTCGCGGAACTTGAGCGGCCGCGGCTCCCCGTAGGCCGTGAAGTTGGACTCGCACACCACGAAGGCGTCCACCACGTCGCCCAGCTCGTGGAAGCGCACGTCCAGCAGGTCGAACTCGTGGTTGATGTTGATGGCGTTGATGACCCGCCGCGGCACCTCCCTGGGCACCAGGCGCTCCTTGGTGGGCAGGTTGGAGTACTGCACCACGGTGGGCACGCCGCAGCTGGGCCCGTGCCAGCCCGGGAGGCACACGCACTCCACCCACTTGCGCCGCACGCCTCGGGCCCCTGTGCGCTCCCGGGCACTCAGCAGATGCCGGACTGGGCCGCGGGCAGATGAACCTTCGCCCCCCTCTGCCTTCTCCTCTGGCCGCCCTGATGGGGGCTTCTCCAGCATCTTGGTGCCTGGTTTGAAGCAGACACCCCCGGCTTTGGTGCGGACGAAATATTCGGTGGTGTCCTCTGGAAGCACGAAGTCCATGCGGTGGAGATCCTCCATGGCCTTGCTTGGTGACAGTGGCTGGAGCAGGGGTGAGTGGGAATAGAGTGGGGTACGCAGCAGGTCGGGGCTCCCCGGCTCTGGGCTGGCCTGGGGCGTGACAGGGGCATTGTTCCAGAAGAAGCTGGACACGAGGTTAGGGCTGAGAGAGGCCAGTTCTCGGGGGAAGGTAACATAGGACAGGGTCTTAAAGAAGTGCAGGAAGGAGATGAGGCACAGGCCGGCCATACAGAACATGAGAAAGAGCTTGTAGCGTCTCATCTTCATCCTGCAGGAAAGAGGGAGAAAGCAGACCGGTCAGGGGTCTGCATTCCTGGGTGAGGGAAACCCGAGGCCCTTCTAGGAACCAACCCTAAGGAGGTATTTGCTGCCGCTGTGTTTGTGAATGTCCTGGCCAGCTGCTGGTGACCCAGCATGAAATCACCTCCTGCTCCCTAGGCATCAAGCCTGCTAGCTCAGTTGCTTACCCAGTGCCCCTGGAAGCCCCAGGATCAAGGATATTCCCTTCGTGGTTCAGGGCTTCCCCCCTTCCCTCCTGTTCCCACAGTGCTTCCCCTCAGAAACCACCAGGTCACCACACATCCAGCCTCTGCAGCCCGCTGCTCCACCTGGCTCACCCCACCCCGACTGTACCAGCTGCACTGCTCCAGGAACAAAACGCATCCTGGGAAAAGCTTAACTCTGCAGTGCAGAATCTACCCAGGGGGCTTACAGGCCCCAAAGGAGCAGGAAGCAGGCTACAGACAGGGGGCCCTTCTTTGCACTGCCCAGGGTGATGTTCTTGTTTGTTCTTCTGTGCTTTCTACCTAGCTATTCTATGTGGAATATTGATGTCTTTTTTCCCCCTTTATTGATTTTAGAGAGAGAGAAAGGGAGAGGGAGAGAGAGAAATATCGATGAGAGAACATCAGCTGGCTGCCTCCTGCATGCCCCCCACTGGGGATCAGACCCACAACCAGGGCTTGTGTCCTGGCCAAGAATTGAACTGGCAACCTCTTGGTGCGTGGGTCGCTGCTCAACCATTGAGCCACACCAGCCGGATTTGACAAGTCTTTTTAATGTCTTTTTTTTGGTACGTGACCCTAGCGGGAACTGAACCCAGGACTCTCTGGTCCGCAGGCCAACGCTCCAACCGCTGAGCCAAACCAGCCAGGGTTTGAATGTCTTTACACTGAAAAAATTCACAGGTCTCAAGGGATGACATTCAATTCTAACATATTTAAAGAAAAAAATAAGTTAAAGTTCCCCTCATTACCCCATGCCTTATACTAGATTGATCTCCAGGCATAAACAATTTGATCTATTAGGAGCTGTATTGCTGGTTTTAGATGCAATTTTTCTGTTTTTGGTTTAATAGTTGTTTTGTTTTGTTTTTTATCCTCACCTGAGGATATTTTTCCATTTTTTGTACAGATAGAGTGGGAGGGAGAGAGAGGAAGGGAGAGAGAGAGAGAAACATCGACGTGAAGGGACACATCGAGTAGCTGCCACCCACACGACCAACCAGGGCCGGGGACAAACTGCAACCGAGGTACGTTCCCTTAGCGGGAACCGAACCCGGGTCTCTCTGTACCGCAGGCCGACGTTCTAACCGCTGAGCCAAACCGGCCAGGGCTTTAATAGTTTTTATAAATATCATATTGGACACTAAGCCAAATCAAATTTTTTCCCAATCAATAATAAAGAGGTTTTCAGATCAATAGAAATAAATCTACCATTTCCTTTCATTTTATTTTTTTAATCCTCACCCTAAGATATTTTTCCATTTATCTTCAGATAGAGTGGGAGAGAGGGAAAGAGAGAGAGAGAGAGAGAGAGAGGGAGAGAAACATTGATGTGAGAGAGACACACTGACTGGTTGCCTCCCACATGACCCTGACCAGGGCCGGGGATGAACTGCAATCAAGGTACATACATGCCCTTGGCCGGAATCGAACCCGTGACTCATTGGTTCATGGGCTGATGCTCTAACCGCTGAGCCGAACTGGCCAGGGCAGCAGCAGCTTCTTCTTTTTTTTGCTGCTGCTGCATTTATTTGATAAGAATGGTAATAGCCATAACACGCATTTGAATCCCACTTTATCATATGTGATGATTACATTTAATTCTCATAGCAGCCCTGTGTGGCCTAAGGTACACACTGTTAATTATATTTGATAGATGACAGATTAATAAAACCAAGGCTCAGAGAGGTTAACTTCCCAAGGCCACAAGAACTTAGTTGCATAAGTTCATATTTGATCCTGGAAATATCCTTATGAAAATTAGATTCCAGTAATAAACATTTTGCTTTGGGGAAGTATCTTCAAAATATTGCACTGCAGAAATCTAGACTACAGTCACTGTATACCCTCAACAGTATTTGTTGTATATATGAGCAGAGAAAAAATCAAGCAGATATATCTTTGATTTCTATTAGTGCCACATTATTTGGTATTTAAAAAATCATCTTCCTAAAAAATATCATATTTCTAGTTTGTTGAATTAAGAGGTGCCATCATCAACAAAGGAAAGCAAAAGACAAGACAACCTACCGATTGGGAGAAGATATTTGCCAATGATATATCTGATAAGGGATTAATATACAGAATTTATAAAGAACTCATACAACTTAAAACCAAAATATGGCCAGAGACCTGAATAGACATCTCTCCAAAGAGAACATACAGATGGCCAGTAGACATATGAAAAGATGCTCAACATCACTAATCATCAAGGAAATACCAATTAAAACCACAGTGCAATACCACCTTATACCTGTCAGAGTGGCTATCATTAGTAAATCAACAAACAAGTATTGGTGAGGATGTGGAGAAAATGGAACACTTATGCATAATAGGTGAGACTGCAAATTGGTGCAGCCACTATGGAAAACAGTATGGAGGTTCTTCCAAAAATTAAAAATAGAACTACCATATGGCCCAGCAATTCCACTTCTGGGTATTTATCTGAAGAAATCCAAAACACTAATTCAAAAAGCTATATGCCCCTGCCTGGCTGGTGTGGCTCAGTGGCTGAGCATCAACCCATGCACCAAGATGTAGCCAGTTCGATTCCCAGTCAGGGCACATGCCTAGGTTGTGGGGGAACCTACATCTTTCATCTCCTTGACTTGGGTGTAGCAGCGACTCCTTGAGAGCATGCTGAGTGCCAGGCACTGTGCTGGGCCCCGGCAGCTCAGGAGACCAGGCAGCGGAACCCCCGCCCCCACAGAGCATGGTTGGGGTGAGCGGGGAAGGGGACTGCAATTACCTAAATAAACGAGTCAAGTAATATTGTACATTAGGAAGTCATGTTCTGGAGAAGAACAAAGCAGGGTAAAGGAGAGGAGGGGACTGAGCTAGTGACAAATAGGGTGGTCAGGGCAGGCCTCACCAAGGAGTGAGACTTGAAGGTGAAGGTGCAGGGGAAGAGGTTCCAGGCAGAAGGAACAGCTGGTACTCAGGAGGAACTGCAAGAACAGACCAGAGGGAGGTGGATGGGCCCACATCACTCGGCCTGGGATCACAGCTGGAAATGCGCTGTCACAGGAGGACTCTGAGAAGAGGACATGGTCTGCCTTCGGTCTGAACAGGCACTTGGGCTGCTCTGTTGAGAAGAAAGTGTCATCTCAAGGGCAGAGCAGAGACAGCTCTCCCAACCCCCTGCCTGACACCCACAAGGTGCACGGGAAGCATTGTCTTCTAAGTTCACGTCACCACGTGAACCTGAGCCTCAGGGCCGCTTGTCCTCTGAGTCTGATCTCCCCCACCTATAAAATGGAAAATGATCAGTCCTGCCTTACCTACTTCAAATGAGACACTGAACTGGGGAGACCAGTCCATAGCCCATCCCTCTCCCAAAGCCCACCATGTTGGGCTCATCTCCACTGCCGTCTGTCTTCCCAGTGACAAGACTATGAGCTCACAGGGTGGGACCTGTATACAGCAGGTGCTCAACAAGGTTGCCTGCATTGCCCTGGGCCCCCTCAAAGTGCTCCCTGCCACTTCCACATACACATTCTGGAACCAGACTGCCCAGTTCCAATCCTGGCTTTGCCATTTCCTGTGTAGCTCTGGGTAGGCTACCTTTTCTGCATCTCCATTTTCTTACCTATACAAGTCTTCAGTAATAATCACGGACAGCGCCTAGCATATACCAGGGCTCGATAAGCTCGAGTTCTTCTTACTGCTATTGCTATTCCCCAGCCTGGCAGGGTAGAGAGAGCCTGGGGTTGGGGAGGAGCAACCAGGGCAAAGGCTCGAAGCTGAGCCTGCTGGGCCTGGGCCCTGGTAGGTGCTGTCCTGTCTCAGAGCAACAAGGAGCAGAGCAGGAGGCTTAGCAAGTGGCGCCAGGGCAGAGCCTGAGCCTAGTGGGGGGTGCTGGGAAACAGTGCCCTGCTTCCTGGGGCTCCAGGGAAAGGAGGAAAGAACTGTGAGGTTGTCTGGGAACTTCCATAGAAAGACCCCCACATATTCTGAGTTGCACCAGCCCCAGGGGCTGGGTCTCCCATTTGAGTGGGTGAAGGTGGCAGGGGATGGGCCGGGTGCTTCGTAGTTGCCAGATAATTGTGGAAGAGGGAGGCTGATGCTGACTCTGACCCAGGATGGCAGCAGGACCAGCCCGCCCTGGGCCTCCTCCACCTCGTTGACTCCCAGCCTCCCAGCCAGCTGTCACTGTGCCGCACCTGGAAGGTCCCAGCTGGGCAGGTTTTCTTCCCTCCCTCCCTCTTCCCACTCTCCCCTTGGGCTCTGCTTGGAAGACTGTTGAAAGGGGTAAGCAGATGAGCCCAAACCCCAAGACAAAGCCAGGGTTGGGGCTCAGGCAGAGTCCAGTGGGGGCTTCTGGCCAGAGAGAAGGCAGGTGCTCCATGGAGGCTGCAGGCTGTGACTGTGGAGCTGGCCAGGCGGGCAGCAGATGCAGACAACGCTGACAGCTGTCACAGGGGTGACAGGAGGCTCCCGTGGAGCTATCCAAGGTCCTGAGCTCACCTGCGCTGACCAGGGTCCTAACTCAGTCCCGGGGGTGCCCCCAGGCGGTCTCACCCTGGTCCCCGCCAGCCTCCTCCGTGGTTCAGCAGCTCATGTCCTAATGGCCATTTCCCCTGTTGGACAACTTCTGGCCCCCTTCCTCTCTCGCCTCATGACTCTGATTCCTGTGTCCTCACCTCTGGGGCAACCTTGGGGCACTCCACTCCTCCAGCTGGGAAAAGGGGCCAGCTGTGGCCTGTGTCCCACAGTGAACAGGTCCAACCCCTCGTAGGTGCTGAGGGCACTCTATCAATAAGAG